CTGTGAAATTATCATATCGTCATATTATTAATTAACGTATTATCATTTTATCGTCGGAGTCAAGAGAATTTAACTAGTTAAAAAATGGGACTAGTTCAAAAAATTTTGACCATTTGATTAACCAGTTAGGAATATTGAATAGGTAAAGTAGGAATATTTTAACTGCAAAATGTCCCATTTTTGTTGCCGGGAGCGCTAGTTGATTCCTCCTGTGATGGGATTCGAAATCCCCATTGCATGATTCCGAATTCCGGCCCACGCCCAGCACACCGGCCCAGAAAGTCTATTATACCAACCCATTCCAGACTCCAGTGATGGCGTGGCGGCCCGTTAAGGCCACCGGCCACATACAACATGATCATCGTCGCTCCATGGCCGGTTTTTTAGACGAATTGGACAAAATTATTTTTTCATTTTTTGTCCAACCGGCCCTTCGGGCGATCGCATGGTCCAATCAGCGCCTGCATTCAGTTGGCCATTGATCACAATATGTCCCGCATAAGACTAGTTGGGCATTGTAGGTGGGTCATGGGTCAGGCATTTAGTAATTGAAGCATAATCAAATAACACACTATTTACGGATAACAATTTCTATAGTTTATTTCACTGCGACGTTTCAACAAGATTTCACGAGTCCTTATCAAGCATATAACATTAAGAAACAAGCCAACAGTGAGGCTGATGTCCCCCGTCCAAATCCCTAAATAAATAGATGACCAATATTAATTAATCGCACATTTATTTTTTTCAAAAGTATCGAGCAATCAAACTGATTATCAACTATACACTAAGTTTCATCACTCTCTATCAGATAGAATCAAAGTTATCTTGTCTCAAAGCATCGATCAATGAAATTTCTTAGCTCTGCTTAGCTTTAGCCCGAAATGTTAATTACTGAACTGAGTCAAGACATTCACCTAATAAACATTTACATAAAGTTTCAGCATTCTACCCCAATTAAAAGCATAGTTATTGTGTTCCAAAGTCTTGACCAATCAAATTGCTTATCGCTCTTTAGCCTAAGCAGAAAATTCTCACGATCGAACTTAGTCAAGCTAATATCGTCCTGACTTCATTATAACCAAAGTTATCGTGCCCCAAAGCATCAACCAATGAGATAGCTTATCTCTGTTTACCCTAAACAGACAATGTTCGTCATCGAACTCCATCAAGGCATTCACCTAATGAACGCCTACACCCAGTTTGAACATTCTACCTCAATTAGAATGAGAGTTATTGTGTTCTAAAGTCTCGGCCAATCAAATTGCTTATCGTTCTGCTTACCCTGAGCAGAAAATTCTCATTATCGAACTTAAGTCAAGGTATTGATGTAATGAAACTATACACCAAGTTTTATCACTCTCACTGAATTAGAACTAAAGTACTATCGTGTCCCAAAACATCAACCAATCAAATTGCTTATCTCTGCTTACCCTAAGCAAAAAATTCTCATCTTCAAACTCCATCAAGGCATTGGCCTAATAAACACCTACATCAAGTTTGAACATTCTAGCTCAATTAGAAAGAGAGTTATTGTGTCGCAAAAAGTGTGACGGACGGACAGACGAACCCATTTTAATAGTCCTCTGCTTTCTTCGAAAGGCGGGGGACAATAAAATGAAAAGAATATGGTTATATATATATATATACAAGAGCAGTGTGGACCCTCCAATGGGATGCAAAATCAGCTAGTATGGGCAACTGTCCCAAGCCGTTAGATAAACAAATGCACATAGACAGGTATAAACTGTAATTGGTATAGATAAGCACAAGAATAAAAGATCAAACAATTATTTAAGCGGTATAATGAACCACGAGCAATAGGCCATAACAGTAAAAAACATGATAACGACTTGTGAAATCTTGTTGAAACGTCGCAGTGAAATAAACTATAGTAATTGTTATCCATAAATAGTGTGTTATTTGCTTATAAAAGACATATTACAAGCTACATCAAACAGAAAATCGATCATTTTATGGAAATTCTGGCCGCCTTTTTGAATATTCAACACTCTGTGTTTTGGTTCATTTTAAGTTCAGTAATCCCATTCAATTGGATATTACATGTAATATCAAACTGTGAAATAACTATTATCTGACAAATTGGCCATTTGAGCAACTTTTGGCCGCCATTTTGAATTTCTGCCATCTTGGATTTGGGGCACTCATATTAGAGATTATTTTTTATGATCAATGTTTCTGATATCTAGTAAATCACTTTAGTTGACCAAATAGATAATTTGGCTTATATGGGTCTGAACAAGATTTTTTTTAGTAAACTTATGAACAGACATCATGAAAAAAACCCGAAAATATTGCTGTTTTCAGATTAATCTTTTATTTTGAAACCGAAAGCATTGATTAAACAACATGAATCATATACCAGCAGATTTAGAATTGTATTATGAACATTTTGAGCCATATTACATATCCGTAGGTGAACCTGTTGGGGAGTTGTGGAGGTTTCCCTGACTTACACTATTTCAAATAAAAAATGGCGGCCATTTTTAAAGATGGCTGCCAAACTCATATTTGGCAAAGTGACCCGGATGTCCATCAACCAATTTTGGACACTTTAGACCTAAGGCTAACTAAAAATCATGGTTAAATTTATTCATCAAATTGGTAATGAAAATCTGTCTGTCACATGGACTAATTAATACTTATATTCATTTTCAATATGTATATTAGTATATCTTTAATCAAAAGTTCAAAATCTGTCAAATGTTGGCAAAATGAATATTTGTGTAATATCTTCGTACATTGATTTACAGAGGGGGCAATATTCGTCACTTACTTTGCCTATCATAAATAGCTTTTCTTTTGACCATAATATATTATGTACAATTCGTTTAGGAACCCACTGGTAGTTAAGTTTGTGTTGCATTAGAAATTATTTGTCGTACCCCAAAAATGTCGCGCGAGCTATCATCATTTCTTCTAAATGTATCATATTTAATCCCCTCATATTCTTCGATTGATTTATTACATTTCTATTCATAACAAAATACAACACATCGTATATATGGATATAACTACTCAGTTATTTAAAGATACATTATGGGAGATAAGAAAAAGAGATGGTAGTTCTCGCTATAATAGTTAAAAACTAGATAGTGTAAAGGTAATTTGCTGGTGAAATTTTTGCATAGTCTCGGTCATCATTACTAAAATCATTAATATACACAGCATAGTCTCGATTATCTATTTTTTTAATTTAATTATCAATGGCCGTTAGCGGCATAAAGGAATCTAATCCAACCAACATCGAAGGCTAGCCTTGACATCGAGAGTTTATTATGGTCTGGATAAGTTAATTAATGTCTAATTGATAATTTAGATAACATTTCAGGCCTAAAGAAAGACTTGTAATAAGCAGATTTTGCTCTTACATAATGCATGTTTAATAACAACATTTGTAACACATACAGGCCTTTTTTTTTCAAGTTAATGTCTATAAATAGGTTGACATAACTTAAAAACGTGACCTGTATGTGTTCTGAAACGTCGTTATTAAATAATAGAGAAGTAGTTATATCCATATATACCTTGTGTTGTATGTTGTTATGGTATACAAACGAAACAAAATAAAATATCGGATACTAAAAAAAACAACCAAACTCAAATGAAAGTTGTTTATGATTGTGTTTTGTTATGAATAGTTAACCTACTTCTAGATGTCATGTAAAGAACTGATTACATTTCGTTTAAGTTTTTCTGAAGGCAAATATTATTCTAATATTAAATCAATCTTTTACTAACACACTAACATAGATTAATATCTATCAGAAAATATCTACATGTATAAGATTCATTTTTTGAATAATATTATTGATTGCATGCCTTCCATTTCTCTTAATTTTAAAATTATCTCCCGGACGATCTCCATTTACACCAATTATTATTATTACACCCCCACCCCAATCATTCCCTTAAAGTAACTAAGTCTCTAACTCAATATCATCCAAAGTCTTTTTAATCAACATTGATGTCGTGATCTTACGGGAAAAGATGGGCTTCTAATATCCAGTATTTAAGACAAAATAAACATTTTACCATTAGTACACGAATCGTGTACCATAATGCGTTTCAGCGCCATTTGCAACAATCAGGGACGAGGCTAGACATATTCCACAAGTCATGTCAAACGGCGACGCCATATTCTTATCTGGATAGCATGCGCAATAAATACTACCGATGTAGACTGTAATAACCAGACGCTAGAGATTGCCATTCGATTGAGACTTCTGGCGTATTTCGCTGAACATAACTGATTAGAATTTACGATAAAAACAGAAACGATTGACTGTAAATCAGTTTATATACATTCATATTACATTATTATATGCGTCCCAATTATCAGCGATTGGGGGGGGGGGCTGAATGGTTAGCGTGCGCGCGCTGTATCAAACGGTCTGTCATTAAATCAACTGGTGGGGTTTCGATTCCCCAGTTGTACGTGACAAGGAGTAGGGTCGCCTGTCCAACCTCGTGGGTTTTCTCCGGGTCTCTCCCCCCTCCACTGCTAAAGATCCCTACGCGCAAGCGAATTATTGAAAAAAAATTGAACCATGTGTTATTCCCGAAATGAAAAAGTTTATGTCGAGTGGACGTTAAACACCATCTCTCTCTCCTCTCTCCTTAGAGTTCAAGGTCATGGCGTGTACACCTCCTGTGTTTTAAAACGTGTATAATGGCGTTTCAACACCATGCATATCAATGTGTGATGTATTTTATAATTATGAAGTGTAACCCGAAACTATACAGCAGACGTCGGCAACATGGTGGAAAAAAGCGCAATCGTCGTCACATGTGCCAAAGTATAATTATTCGGTATTGCATTTTCAATTTAGAAAAAAAATTGTAAAGTGAGCTACGTGGTGTGGATTCAAAGCGTGTGTGAGGAAATATGAAACTAGTATTAAAAAAAATGTATTTAAAGCATTATTTATATACGCTGATGTACAATGTAGAATGACTTAACAAACTTTTAACATTGCTGAAACACGGGATAGAATAGGTTAGTTAATTATTTGCATCATAATTTGAAAGTTAATTTTATCTGTTATTGTCATTCATTTTCATTCATTTTCATCATAATTTGACGGTTGTTTCTGTTATTATAATTCATTTTGCTATATATTTATAGCAATATTCTTTGGAACTTTATTATTATCATTCATTTTCTTCATAATTTGAAGGCCTGTTTTATTTATTATCATCATTCATTTTCTCTATAATTTATTATCATTATTCATTCTCTCTATAATTTTATTTATTATCATTCATTCTCTTTTAATTATTCATTTTCGTCATAATTTGAAGGCTGAATCTGTTATTATCAATTTATCAATCATGTTCTTTCTATATCTGTGATTTGGCATATCCGGTTTCCTCCCACTGCTAAAGACCCCTACGCGCATGCGAATTATTGAAATAAAGTTGAACCATGTGTTGGTCCCGAAATGACCTAGTTTGTGTCGAGTGGACGTTAAACCCCATTTCTCCCTCTCTCCTCATCTAATCTCCCATAATGCCCCTTTAAGTTGCTGTTAAACCCAATGTCTCTATATCCGTTCATTTTATTTCAGGTGTTGGTGGAGTAGTGATACATACACCTTCATTATATGACTACCAAGTCTACTGGCAGGTTTCAGACAGAGAAAATTTTAAATTCAAAGCCAATGCCTCACGAAATGTAGGGTTGTATTTGGATAATCCTACAGATGGTAATGGGCATGAGATGATTCTTGGTGCGAATGTTAATAGGTATTCTTGCGTACGTCCATGTATAGCGTGTCCCTGCTTCTATCAATCTCTGGCATATGTTAGTCCACTGGCTTTTGGCGTTCGAAAAGACGTCTGGATTTTCTGGAATTCGACCCTCATGTCCGCTGGAGCCGCTTTGAATATAGGAGAAAATGCATTTCTTACATATCGCTTTGCAAACAATCATCCTGGTATCCAACGCATCTTTATCAGCACCCATGTCCAAACCAGTGGCATATGGGAAATGCGTAAGTAAAACAATTTTTAAAAAAACTAGATACCAGGCCCCGAGTTCACAAAGCATTCTCAGATTGAAGTTAAGCTTTTTTTAATCACTGTTTATGAGAAATATCTTTGATCCAGAAACACAAAACTTTGCACATAGTTTCTTATTGATGTATTTGATACATTAAAACAACAAAAGTTTTATAAAGGGCTATATTTTAGTTAAAATAAGTCGAACAATTTTGAGTACATTCTTAAGTTAAGTCTGAGAATGCTTTGTGAACTTGGGGCCAGAGCTTTATAATGGCTTTCTCAATCTAAATTAATTCTGAGACTAACATAGGATTATACCAAGGGCATTTGAATTCTGGATGCCAAAGTTTCCTTTACGTGCTCATCAATGTGCTTACGGGTGGGTCTCATTTACTGTACCTTTCGGATGGCTAAGCAACACCTCCCTTGGCAGCAACAGGGGAATCAAACCTGGACCAGTGTAAAATACCGAGTATAAGAATAAGACCACGCCCACCTCATCTGCAGAGTTAGCAAATGATTTTCTACGCGTGTATTTATGCACATGTAACATCAGATACCACTTCTGAATTGAGGATTCCTATTGACTGTCATAGATAAATTGCAAGCTAGCTCCTATCGGATCCTCCACATACAAATGGGGTTACTGAATGAGCTAAGTCTTCGTGTAGTAAAGTGGTTTGGTTAGTAAGGATCCGGCTCTCCAAACACGTACTCCCAATTGAGATTCCGGTCTTGGGTTTTCCAACTTTAGGTTCCTTAGTCTGTGTTTGGGGAGGGTCATCATCTGGTCGTTTGGATCAGATGAAAACATTGATCAAGTATGCGTGTTAGCGTAAAGGTAAAATTACGCTTGACTCAGAATACGAAGGAGAGAGAGAGAGAAATGGGATCTAACGACCACTCGACACAAATTAGGATATTTCGGGACTAACATATGGTTCAATTTTATTTCGGGGATCACGTGGCTAAGTGGGTAAGACGCTAGCTCGCTAGCCTGGAGGTCGGGTGTTCGATCCCTGCATTGGCCGAGAAAGTTCATCCAGATTTTCCGGCGTGGTTCTCCCTTGTCAGTGATGCAGGACGGAGGGGCTGGCAAGGAAAGCTGTCTAGTCGTTCGGATGGGACGGAAAACTGAGGTCCCGTGTACACATTGGCGTGCACGTAAAAGATCCCTTGGCAGTTGGAATTCGATATAAGAGTAGGCCGTAGTGCCGCTGTCCGGGCAAAATTTCCCTCATAGCACACGAGGTTGGACAGGCGACCGGGAAATCGAAAATCCTCTGAATACACTGCATGTCGTATCCCCCTTTGTTGCAGAAAAGTGGCCCGCGGGGTTTCGTACAATTCGAACGATTAGATATTCCTTTTTTGATTTACAGACCCTCCTCCCTGAGCCAAACTGGGAAACCAAACTGGAAAATTTTATTATGGCTCACAGGTTTCTTAACACCATACATTTGTAATTCTTAGACTAATATTTGATAAATTCTAGGGTATAATTTGTCTAACGACGTTCATCTGAATTCCAAGCCAAAGATTCCTGTGTACTCCAGCTGACCTAATGGTTGGTCGTGCCATTAGAGCGGCTAGTTGGAAGCCAAGTGTTCATCCAGTCTGAATGACTATAGATTTTTTACTTGCCAAGTCCTCTCTGTCTTGAGGGGGGTTGGATGGCCAATGGTTAACACGTGCGCGCTGTATCATAAGGTCTGTCAACGAGTCAACTGGCGTGGTTTCGATTCCTCCGTTGTGCGTAACAAGGAGTAGGGTCGCCTGTCCAACCTCGTGGGTTTTCTCCGGGTCACCCGGTTTCCTCCCACTTAGTGAAAATAAAATTGAACCATGTTAGTCCCGAAATGATCTAGTTTGTGTCGAGTGGACGTTCAACCCCATCTCTCTCTCTGTTTCTCTCTCTGTCTCTCTCTCAGCAAACTGTTTGATTTTTTTAATAACCTACATTGTTAATGAAACTGCATATTTATAATTGTATTTGAGGTCTGAAACAAATAATAGTGGATGTCATTAAATAGCGTGATAAATAAAACAAAACTAGATTTGACCTCAAGGTCATACCCTCTTTAACAATGTTGAAGAAGGCTTTTGCATCATCAGTTTAGAAATAAAATTTATATGATTTCAGCTGATTACTTGACTTTTGTTACCAAGTCAAATCTAAAGAATACAACAATCTATTGGGATGTGGCTGGTGTTTCATCTGCTTTATTTTCAATAGAAACTTGTGGAAGTGTAGATATAATCTTCACCACCAATTTGGCTCATGTATCTTATAAAGTTGGTTTAGGGGACTGTTCTAACTGGTGTACAACTATCCAGAAGGTCCTGACCAACAATACAGAAAGTACTCCCACTACTGTTCAAGTCGACAAAAATCCTCTATGGTGTTCGCGTTCTGAAGATGTATGGATAAGCTGGAAAAATACCACGAATAAACTAGAAGTTGGAACTGGACAAGTTCTTCACCAAGATGGCATTGTTGCTATGGACGACATGGAAAAGGATGCTCTTGTCGAACGTATGACGATACAGAGTTCATTATCTGCTAAGTGGAAAATAGGTAAGTTTGTTTTAGCAAGCATCACGTGGTGAGACTGTTCATTTGGTAATATGGAAGAGCACTATAGAAATTCAGATTTCGTCTAATGGAATTTCTTCTACCGAATGGCATATTAAGCAAATAAATGAAATGAAATGGGGTTTAACGTCCTACTGTTCTGCTCCTATGCTGGGCTAATGAAGACGGGTATACGCCATACAGTGTGCTATGAGGGAAATTTTGCCAGGACAGAGGCACTATCGCCTACTCCTATATCGAATTCCAACTGCCAAGGGATCTTTTACGTGCATTCCAATGTATACACGGGACCTCGGTTTTTCGTATCATCCGAAGGACTAGACAGCTGTCCTTGCCAGGCCCTCCGTTCTGCACCACTGACAAGGGGAAACTACGTCGGAAAATCCAGATGAACTTTCTCGGCCAATGCAGGGATCGAACACTTGACCTCCAGGCTAGCGAGCCAGCGTCCTACCCACTGAACCACTGTGGCTCCCTCAACACTATTCAGATTTCGTCTAATGGAATTTCTTCTACCGAATGGCATATTAAGCAAATAAAGAATGTGCTTTACATCGGCACCATACACCAAGCAAACCCAAACCGATACTCACTGACTTTTACCAGATAAACAAACTAGCGAAAATAAAGCGGTGCCTAACTTATGAACAATAAAAACGTGCATGCTTTGATCTCTTCAAGGCTGGATTACCATAACGCTTTATTGTATGTTCCACCACTGTGGAAGCTGTCGACGCATTAACTTGTCCAGAATGCTTCAGTTCAACTCATCATTTGAACAAGGAGAATGAATCACATTAAACCATCCTTACGAGCCCTCCAATAGTTGCCAAAAAATAGACACATCGAATTCAAACAAGTTTTACTGATTTTGACACCACTCAATAATCAAGCACCACAATATATTCAAGATCTGTTCAATCCATGTGAATCCAATGGGACCTTCATCTTCAGTAGAAAGCTTGATCTCGCTTTAACTACGTACATCTTATCAAGGCCTTCACGTAATACCCTGCATATTTCGGCACTAATTTCGATTGGGTACAAGCCCAGCTTGTGAGCCTATCAGATTCCTCTGTCGTCGCTAAAATGTCTGCCTGTGATAATTGAGTTGCAAAGTTCAAGGTTGGAGCTCGCGGTGTCACAACCTCTGATTGGACGCTACTATTCACGTGTCTGTAGATAACGTAGCTATAAATTCGGGGATTGTGAAGTAATCTAGAAACGTCCAGATGTTGTAAAACTCGCAGTCGTTGCATCAGGAACATGTGGGATCTTATAATCCCAGAACAAGTCATTCCCGCTGTCAATCCCAACAGACGAAACGATCTTTTCAAAGTTGCAGCACCTTTTCTCTAGAATTCTCTTCCCTTAGCCTTTACAAAAATCTGGACATTTTCGAAATCACGCTAAAAAAACATATCCACCTGACGGGAATAAACAATAAAAGAAACCCATAAACTTTGAAGCGAATTGGGGACTGTATCTAAAGCATTTTTGGTGCAATTTTTGTGTTGATTGATAACTTAAATCACACGAGAGCTTCTGCATATTATTAAAATACGGTGATATTTTATAATAATAGACGGTCTATAGAAACCAGGACCACCTAATGTGGTTTGAGGACAGGAAACAAATAATAACGGCTCCTGGGTTTATTTTCGTAATATGCCAGTCGGTAAAAGAAACTCTATTGGAGAAACTCCTCGCAAGAAAATCGTTTGTCGAAAGAAAGTCGGAAGAGGCAATTCGAAAGTTAAAATTTGAAAGAAGAAATTATAACTGTGGGTAAAAGTATAATTCTGACAATTTAAAGTTGAAATGGATGGTGGTTGGCGATTTTTTTGGGGGTGTTTTTTTTAGTTTAGTTATGCGTTTCCACAACGAAAATATCACTTTTTGATAAGAATTTTGTGATTTTCTTTTGATTTATTTCTTTTTGCTGTAGATTGTTTTTGGAACCGAAATGAAATAAAATGGAGTTTAACGTCCTACTGTTCTGCTTCTAACCTGGGCTAATGAAGACGGGCATACGCCATACAGTGTGCTATGAGGGAAATTTTGCCCGGGCAGCGGCGCTACGGCCTACTCTTTTATCGAATTCCAACACGGGACCTCGGTTTTTCGTACCATCCGAACGACTAGACAGCTGTCCTTGTCAGGCCGTCCATCCTGCATCACTGACAAGGGGTACCACGCCGGAAAATCTGGATGAACTTTCTCGGCCAATGCAGGGATCGAACACCTGATCACCAAGCTAGCGAGCCAGCGTCTTACCCACTTAGCCACGTGATTCCCCCTTTTTTTGGAACCCAATACACCTCTTTGTTATACTGGTTACCTGCTGAGGCCCGAGTCAAATACAAAATACTAACATTGGTGTATAAATGTCGCATTAACGCAGCTCCTCAATACTTATCTAAACTCTTATATGACTACAACCCTATTAGATCACTTCGCTCTCAAAATAAACAATCACTAGTTGTTCCAAGATATAATTTAAAGTCATATGGGTATAGGTCTTTCAGTTCAGCTGGTCCTAGATTATGGAGCGAACTTACACAACAGATCAAGAATCAACAAACTTTTAATCAATTTAAATCCGTACTAAAGACTTTCTAGTTTCAACAGTTTTACCAGTAGAGCCATTATTAAAAGCGTTATGAGCATGTGTCAACATAGAGAAGACGCTATATATAATAAAACCTCATTATTACATGTGTACGTTTTATTTCATGTTAGATGTTTACGGTTGTGAATTAAACAGAAATCGCACCTGTCACTGTAGGCATCCATCTTTTCATCCTACATTAGATGGCGACTTCCACTGTGATAGCGAACCTGTGCAGAACATGGAAAGGGAATATGACCAGAAAATGGACGGTATGTACATAACACCATTTTAATCTTAAAAGGAAATGAGCGAGATTAGATTGATGAATACAAATGGATAATCCAGTGTAGAAAACTCTTGAAAAGCTTTATCACAGTCCTATGCAATATATAAAGCTCTGTGCAGGGGCGGATCCAGGAATTTTTGCAGGAGAGGGTTTGCCAGGTTCCTGAGAAAATGTATCCCTCCCCCCTCGGCTAGAATTTTTTTGAGAAATACAAGGTCTCTATCGTCATTTTGGCGTATATACATACACGTTGATCTTTTTAAACAGAGAAATCCAACATCCTGTTTGACGTCAATTTTTATTATGAATTAATACGATGACATTGTGATTCAATTTTATTGATGCAAAGCATTAATTGTGATATCACATAATGACTATATCATTATCTCGCGCTTTGAGTGCCCATCCTGTCGCACCATCTGATGCTAAAGGATAAAGCACAATAATGACACTTTTTTTCATAAAAAAGGTTGTTTTACACTCCCCCCCCCCTCTGGATCCGCGACTGTCTGTGCTCCTTTTCCGGTGAAACGACCAAAATTCAATCTCCAAGTTAGAATGCAAAGTGATTGACGCAATTACCCACTTAAGCGCAGTGGTAGACTTTAGCAATGAGAATGTCCACAAGATTTTTCCAATTAACCAGGGGAGATAACTTTGACAGCATTTATCGAAAATCGTTGAAATCAATCTGCGTCTCATATATATCAACAATGTCTATCAAGCCGTTTAAGTTAATCGTAGTTTAGATCTCTGGAGCTACCACAGGCAATGGGTGGTAACAATAGACAATAACATTTTAATGTGGACGTATAACAAAAACAATAACTTTGGTTTCTTTGTGACCGACTGGAAGACTAAGGCTACTGGTAGGCTTGTTAATGTTTTCTTACCCGACATTCTGTGTTGTTATTCAATTTTTTTAGAACCTATCAAAAGTAATACCTGGCGAACTGAGGGAAAGCTGTACTCCACCACCTTGGCTAAATGGATCATCACTAAAAGTTCCAGGATAAAGTGTGGTGTAGAATGTGAATTGAGGAACTCCTGCTCTATTTTCTCGTACAATAAGCTAAACAAATCATGTTGGTTGTATGATGCACAACATTTCAATGTGAATGACTTTATTGAAAACGAAAATTTTAAAACCTATATATCATATTAAAAAAAAAAATGAAATGGGGTTTAACGTCCTACTGTTTTGCTCTGACTGGGCTAATGAAGACGTATGCCCGTCTTCATTAGCCCAGTCGGAGCAGAACAGTAGGACGTTAAACCCCAATATCATATCATTTCATTTCATTTTTAACGGATATATATGAACTTCTCGGATCTCTAATAGCTTTTTTGGCAGATGACTATTCCTATGTGTAATACAAAAAACCCAAATTTTAATTTTAAAATAGGCTCCATTAGTTTTAATGGTCACCGGAAAAGGTTCATAATTTTTTAAATAATGCAAGTAATTATGTCAACATATCCTTTCCAAAAGTATAACACGAACCCGAATGTCAATATTACCTGCAACAGGTAAATTTCAACATTAGTAATTTCCGCCATTCTCCGTGGGTAGTCGTAACTTTCCGAAAATAAACAATCTGTGACGTCACGGATTGCTTATTGACGGAAAGTTACGACTACCCATGTTCCATCATGGCGAGTAAATAGAATGAAATGATAGCCTCGATTTGATGTGTATATAATATTTAGGTACTTTCACTGAAATGTAGTTTAGTGTGTCGTCAACGTAACACTTCGGTCATTTTGAGACAAACGTAATGTATTTTTGTTTCTCTCGTTACGTGTCAGATTCGAGATCAGAAACTTCTGCTCATACAGTGGCCATTTAATGAGAGAGAGGGAGAGAGAGAGGAGAGAGAGAGTGAGAGAGGGGGGGTTTAACGTCCACTCGACACAAACTAGGTCATTTCGGGACTAACATGTGGTTTAATTTTATTTCAATAATTCGCTTGGGCGTAAGGGTCTTTAGCAGCGGGAGGTAACCGGAGGACCTGGAGAAAACCCACGAAGTTGGACAGGCGACCCTACTCCTTGTCACGTACAACCGGGGATTCGAAACCACGCCAGTTGACTCAATGACAGGCTTTATGACACAGCGCGCACGTGCTAACCATTCGGCCATTCAACCCCCCGCCATTTAACGATCTTCTGTTTTCACTGTGAATGTTTCCTTTAAAGGCAATTTATCAACCATTGTTTTATTCGTTAAATAAATTTAATAATGTTTATGCTCAAGCGTATCTAATAATAATTAAACATAAGGATATAATAAAAGAAATTAATAAAGAAAACTAAACAAACTATAGTAGCGAGAAAATTCAAACTGGACATTTTTGCTTGCGTGAAACAAAAGTCCTTGAGAAGAGCTATGCTACTTAGTTCGAAATTACGTTGTCAATGCCTTTCGGGAATTTAGACTTGAAATGAAATAAAATGGGGTTTAACGGCCTACTGTTCTGCTCCTAAACTGGGCTAATGAAGACGGGCATACGCCATACAGTGTGCTATGAGGGAAATTTTGCCCGGGCAGCGGCGCTACGGCCTACTCTTATATCGAATTCGAACTTCCAAGGGATCTTTTACGTGCACGCCAATGTGTACACGGGACCTCGGTTTTTCGTCCCATACGAACGACTAGACAGCTGTCCTTGTCAGGCCTTCCGTCCTGCATCACTGACAAGGGGAAACCACGCCGGAAAATCTGGACGAACTTTCTCGGCCAATGCAGGGATCGAACAAATTTAGACTTGCATTTTGTACATGTGCAGGATTTTGTTCAAGTATTGTAATGTATGTGTGTTTAACCAAGTAAGGCAATGTAATGTATGTGTATATGTATATGTATAGGGGCGGGCGGGCGGACGGGGTGGGTGGGGGGGTAAAGTGAAAAAACAAAAATTAATATTTTCTGTAGTTGGTAAAAAAAAGTGCCCGAAATCTAATATAACAACACAAATTTTACTTTTGTTTTAATTGAATACCACAAATTATAATGAATTGACTATGGATTGAAACATTTTGTCCGGAGTTACTCATCCTCGGTATCCCCAGTGTACTCATTCCGTTCTACTCCGCTATACCCTGGGTTAATCCATATCTGCCCTGGCCTTGATTGTAGCTATACTCTACGAACCAATCAAAAAACAGTTTACAAACCTGTCGTTTCACCTTCGTTTTTATAAGGGTAGATAACCATATTCATGTCCAGATACTGAATGATTTATGTAAATAATGTATATATTTATAATTCATTTATATTTGATTGTATTATCAAAATCTGTAGTATGTTTGACTTTTCTTATTACTATTCGTTCTTTGTCTGAAATGTTTCATTCTCTTATATTTATTATTATTGAACTTATACTTGGCAATTTGATTCACAATAAGCCCAAAGGAAGAAATGCACCGCCCTGCCATTCGACCGGACAAATCGACCAGACCGACGAAAACGACCGAAATATATATATATGTACATACTATGTCTAAATGTCTTTTTGTCAAATATCCGTATTGCGTGCATGTCTGGAAATGTTTGTCCTGGTCCAAATGTTCGTCCATATTCATGTTTGTTTTGTCACAAATTCACCTGTCTATCAATGTCTACTGGCACTACTTTATTCTTTGCACCTGTTATCTCGTCATGTTATCTTTTGTCTTCTGTACATATATACAAAAACCAAATTATCCTCTTTTTCCACTAATCACATTGTAAATTATTGCACCATATACCCATAAAATGTTATTGTCTGCGATATCACCGCGGTGGAAGCGGACGTAAAATACAACTAACTCACACACATTCACAATATCTTGTCTACGATATCACGATTCTCAATAAAATTCTTGAACCTACATGAACGCACGATCTTCATTAATATAATATTATATAATTTGTTGTTAATTAATACGCATTCAGAATAATTTGGACTTCTCTCATTCAGGCTAACTCCCAGCCTTGTCCGCTGAGAGTTACTTCCTTTGCCAACTTCCTTTGTAATTAATGATTTATGAGATTGGTCGATAAAAATAAGCACAACCATTCAGGGCGGATAACTTGAAAACGTGTCTCCCCCATAGATTAACCCAGGGGTTTGTGGAGTAGAACGGAATGAAACCACTGGGGATATCGAGGATGGGAGCTACTCTACTTTGTGCCACATTTTTCGGGTATCGATTATTATTTGTCAATGCAGATGCTGCAGTCTGATTGGATAATTGGAATTCGGGTCGCCATAGAGTGGGATTTCGGTGACAAAACGATTGGACAACTTTGAAGTTGCTTAACTCACGGGTCAGAATAGCAGAAAAACGCATTTGTGGCGGTTAACTTTTCCAAATTTTCATGGGGAGGACGGGGCCTCCATACACCGAGGAAATTGGTTGGTATTCGAGTCATCCGCCTAAATTATCGCATATTAGATCACTTTGAAGTTGCCGTGTTTGTGGGCAGGAATAGCAAGATCGCGTGGGGGAAGAGGGGAGGGGGGGGGCTTCGCCTCTCGCAGAGAGAGAGATACGAAACAAAATAAATTACAACTCTACTTGTTTGTTAAAATATTATTTATTGTTTTATATTATTTGTTTTCGCTGCTAAGAACGATACTAAAAACAATCACTGCAAACCAACCTACATATACATTTCAAACACATCTAACTTACTAGTATCGTGTTTTTCAAAGGTGCAGCTATAAGGCTCGTATGTCGTGCTCAGAAATATCAAGACCGTCATAACAAACGTGTTATCAAACATTGTTAAAGTCATTATCTTCCTGTCCAAAAATGACATCATCGTCGTCCTCTTCAGAAATGACGTCACTGTCGTGATCTTCCGATTCAGAAAGGACGTCACTGTCGTGATGTTCCTGTTCAGAAATGACGTCACCGTCGTGATGTTCCTGTTCAGAAATGATGTCACCGTCGTGATTAGTGTCATCACTGTCAAAATAATTGTTTCATCATGGACATCATCAACTTGTTCTTACGGTCACCATCAATAAACATTTGTTTCTTAAATGACGTCATCATTCACATATAATGTTCTTCTGTATTATGACCACCAGCGATCTGAAATATCGTTGGGGGTGTACACAGTCCAAAAGGCATTGTAATACAATATTCATGCATTATTAACAATACATGTACTATAACATATTTCGTAATACATTCTTCCGAAATAAATAACATTCTCACAAGAGTAAATTTATCAAACGAAAATTTCCAAGAGCATGGAAGACATCTTTAAGTTGAATTTGAATTAAAAACAACAGCTAATAAAGATACCTTCATAGCCAGTCCATTTATCATTCGGAACAAAGTATTGTTTCCCTTCTCCGTTATCCAAATTTGACACAAATTAAAAATATACACCATTCTTAGTTCACAAGAAAAAAACCCACTAGATCAACCAATTGTCATTCATATCTTTATTTTATTTTACGAACTGTTTCTGCTTCCAAATTCCATGGTCACGTCCAAACCATTGCTCCGGTTAGCTTTGGGTAGTGGCGGGTGTCGAACACAAAGCAGCGTATTTTTACATTTTCTAGGATGCCTTATAACACTTCTCGTTTGAGGAAGCCTCACAGCTATTCAGATACCACCTTACACGCAGTTACTAATATATTTCATATTATTCAGATTCCGACCACCTTCAATTCGGAGATGTCAGTCAATCCACTCACAGCACATTCTCCGTAATTATCACGAAACTATCACAATGTCTTGATAATTTATTCCGCCTTAGTACAAAACACATAAATAAATTAATAAATCTTAGAAGAACATTTCCAATAGGTGGTATGTCTTATTTCTTTCAATAAATGAGGTCCATTTTTTCTTCTTCGTCGGTTTCCTCGGCTTTTTTTGATTCGCGGCTCTTTGGTATTTCTGGTAATCTGAAACAAACAAAAGCCCAATATCAGTTTTAGCATTCTTATTGTTTCTAGATATATGGGAAATTCACATAGCCAAAATTTTCTATAATCTTTGCACTTAGCCCTTCTGACAATGTTGTGGCATCTTTGGATTAGCGTACTGTTAGTGGTTTTTTTTTGTCAGGAATAGAGCAACAACGACCTCCATTTAAGTGAGCCAAATGGAATTCCGCATCACCAAGTAATAATATTGTGTTTTAAACAAAACTGAGCAAACTCGAGGATGATGACATATGTTTAAGACTATAGAATAGACCTTCGTGTAGGAAAGGCTTATGACAGTGTCAAAAATATTATACACCTAGGCGGAGAGTTCCTGGATCTTTGGACCCTTGGGTAGTCATAAATATACATTAATACCTGTTTAGGTGTCCAATTGCACGGATAGGACCTGGCTACGCTTCCTTCAAGGAGTTACGTGAAACCGGATGTAGAATATCTCCGAAACCAGAAATGACAGTGCAACACCATCAGACCTAGCCCCCCCCCTTTTATACTCGGAAAGGCCTGCTAAGATTCCTTAAAAAAGTATCATAGTTTAACTAAAAAACCGACAGAGTTAGTGACACACCACGAGACCTATCTGACTCCCTAGTAATGCCGCCAACCCCTATCTGACAGATAGAGATACGATAATAACAAATATGGTATTTCAATATTTTGTATACATTATTAATATCTGAAGACGACCATAGAAGGCAGACAGCTAGTTTATATGATTTAATGTATGTCAGAATGAAGTAAAGTGGAGAATTTTTTACCTGGACGTATTTTTTTATTCATTTATGCATTTATCTACCGTAAGCAAAGAAGTACTCAGGGGTGCCGGAACCCGGGTACAAATGGTACCCTGTCCTTTTCTGGGGTATACATGTATACCCATGCCCTAATGATGAAAGTTTTCAACCTTTTTACTAGTCTATTCATTTGTGAATAATCAGGCTTTTGTCTCTTTCATTATCATGTATTTTAATGGGTTTTATGTTGGAATATGGAATGCTATAGGCCCTCTAAACAGCGTTCTCGGAATTTCAACTTTTTCTAGAGGCCCCCCCGGACACCCCCCCCCCCCCTATCTTTTGGTACCCTGGCCCTCGCGCCGTTCCGGAGCCCCTGGAAGAACTTGTACTTTATCTACGTATATATACTCACTTTGCATATTTATGTAAGAGTTCTATCTTGTCGGCGTGTAGTATCGATTTATCTAGTTTCCCTTCCATTAAATCTCTCGCTTGTTTCTTTAATAAGAATGTCGAGTTTTGACTCAATGGTTGACCTAAGGGGTTCATGTCTCTCTGGACGGAAGGTGGTCGTTTTCTGGGTGGCATCTGGTATTTGGTATCTGACATGTCTAGAGGGTTATCACATATATTATCATGCATGGACATGAACAACGGAATGTAACACATATAATCTATAAAGGAAATCTGGAAGAGAAAAAATATAAAACCTATATTTATGTTGACTAAAATTGGGGTCCCGTGTACACATTGGCGTGCACATAAAAGAACCTTTGGCAGTTGGAATTCGATATAAGAGTAGGTCATTGCCCTTATTATTATTATTATTGTGATTATATTATTTTTTTTTATTATTATTATTACAGCATATTTATAGTGCGCTATTTCATATAACATGTTCAGGGGCACTTTACAAAGTGGGGGGTTGGATGGCTGAATGGTTAGCGTGCGCGCGCTGTATCATAAAGTCTGTCATTGAGTCGACTGGCGTGATTTCGAATCCCCGGTTGTACGTGGCAAGGAGTAGGGTCGCCTGTCCAACCTCGTGGGTTTTCTCCGGGTCCTCCGGTTTCCTCCCACTGCTAAAGACCCCTACGCGCAAGCGAATTATTGAAATAATGTTAAACCATTTGTTAGTCCCGAAATGACCTAGTTTGTGTCGAGTGGACGTTAAACCCCATTTCTCTCTCTCTCTCTCTCACTTTACAAAGTGACTATATAATCATAAATAAACAACAAGATTATGGACATGTTAACGATTGTATAGAGTCAGTTAAAAGCCCTGGTTTATGCCCGTCTTCATTAGCCCAGTCGGAGAAGAACAGTAAGGACGCTAAACCCCATTTCATTTTATGCAGATTTAAATATAGACACTATTTATTTGGATTTTGAAACCAGAAACACATGTGGTTGTTATATCCATTTAATCGGACGAGGTTGAACACATGGTCATTTTGAGACCAACATATGGTTAATGTCATTCCTTATCTTACGTGTGCAATTTAACGTGTTGTTTTTATAAATTACGTCTGGTCTGTGGATGCAAACGAAATATAGTACAGACCTTTTAAAAGTTCTCATTTTGATATTTTACGTGTAGAATGTAAGTCCGGATAGAGGTATTTTCGCGTACGGGTCTACAAATTCCAACTGCCACGAGGTTTTTTTAGTCAAGACTTCTGTTCTCATTTTGTTAGCTATGGTTATACGTGACATCTGAGCCCGGATAGAGACGTGTGTCCGCGTGCTGATCTTTGAATTCCAACTGGCAAGATACCCTTAAATAGCACTGATTACAATTTGCGTACAGGGATCCATCATTTCCCTAATGGAGAGAATAAAACAAACACATGTTGGCAGGCAACGAAACATATGGATACTAGCGGCTAAGTCGTTCGGGCTAAAACAAAAATGGTTTAAGCAAGCACACCTCGCCGCCATCCTCACTACCCTAATAGAGAGAATACAAAAACCACATGTTGCCAGTCAACGAAACATACACCAACTAGCTTAGACAAACATACATCGCCCCCACCCATAACTACCCTAATGGAGAGAATAAACTAAACACATGCTGCCAGGCAACGAAACATACACCCACTAGCAGCTAAAACGTCCGAGGCCAAATCAAAAGTATTTTTTAAAAATCTCACCTCTCCCCAGTCGTTGGGTTCCATTTTCTCCATGATGTATTTTTGTTGTTGCCAGTTGAGGCCACCAGCTATAAGTTCTATTTTCAAGGAATCCGATGTAATAAAGTTGGTAGTTCTATCAGATGGTATATTGTGATAGAACATGGCTTGATACAGATTTAACTTTCTCTCAATATCAGCCAAATTACATATCTCCATTAAATGTTTACTTAAAGAACTGTAAGATAAAAATATAGAAAATATTAGATGTTGACTCTAGGATAAAACAAGGACAATTAGAGGTTTAGGATAAATTATCCATATTCATGTCTACTATCAATCAAGCGGGTTCTTTTTCCCCACACGAACAATTCTAGTATTCACATATTTGTTTAATTTACTTGAGAGGAAATTTGCATAAAATCCTATATTCTGATGTCTATTACTTCAGTTATTTCAAACCCAACATAGTTATTTCACACCTAACATGGTTATGTCAAACCCAACATGGTTATGTCAAACCCAACATGTTTTTTTCAATGCTAACATGGTTACTTCAAACCCAACATGGTTATTTCAAAACCTAACGTGATTATTTCAAACCTAACCTAACATGGTTATTTTAAATCTATTATGGTTATTTCAAATCTAAAGTGGTTATTTCGCTAAACCTAATATGGTTATGTCAAACCCAACATGGTTATTTCAAAACCTAACATGGTTATTTCAAACCTAACATGCCCATTCAAATAATTAATGGGACGCTTTTGAATACTTACTCCATAGCTGTTACCCTTTCACATAATGCTGTGATGACAGCAAACATACGAAACGTCACCAACGTGGCATCATCTATATGTAATACCTGAAGTGTTATAAAACATATTTCACATTTTTGTGCATAATTAGTTACCATGGCAACCTCACAAACACGTAATAAAAATAAATGCATATTCTGCCTACCATTTAGTCAGGATCGGGTTCGATCCCGGTGGTGACCGAGATATTTACCCGGGATTTTGTTTTCCTTTGCCAGTGGTGCAGGACTGGGGGCCTGACAAGATACAGTGTCTGGTCGAAAAGGGATAAAGATTACCCGTTACCGCGGTGTTTACGAATCGATATTACTCGTACGAGTGTTGTACGAATAAAGGTTTCTTCTTAAATGCAGTATTTATGAAATAAGGTTTACCCTAACCCTACCTTACCCCTAACCCTAACCATGAGAACCCTTACCCTATCATACGAAATTTACCTTGAAGACATAATCAACTTGTTTATTAGTTATATGTTGAACTGATGGAACGCCTTCTAGAGCTGTTCTTATCTCCTGAAACAAATAAATAATATTTTTAAATTTCTAATTTAACGTCGTATTGCTTGTACAATACGTGTTCTAATCGCCGCTTGCGTTCTCTTCTCTTGTTATGAACAGTTCGAATGTGACCAGAATCAGCCACCACTCGTCTGTGTCACTCATGGCCGCGACTGAAGGAAGCTCACTGTAGTAATTTAAAAGCTTTGATTCAACAGGCATTATGCAAGAGCCAAATCTGCCTATTGCAGGTCTTTCTTTAGGTCTGAAATGTTATATAAATTATTAATTAGACATTAATTAACATGACAAGTCCATAATCAACTCTCGAAGCCATCGGATGGCTCCGTTTTTAGGTAGATCAGAACTGTACGGCCATTTAATGATTTATTTAAAAATGGATAATCGAGACTTTGTTTATTATCTTAACAACGGTAGCAATGACAATCAAGGCTACATCGTTTTTCTAACCCCGATAACTCGATTCAGAGTGAAGTAATTTAACTGAAATTTTTAACATATTCCCAGTTTATTATCTATTTTTTAAAACTATTATAGCGAGAACTGTCAGCTCTTTATCTAATATGACAGGGAAATCGAAACCACGCCAGTTGACTCAATGACAGACCTTATGATACAGCGCGCATGTGCTAACCATTCGGCCAACCCCCACCCCCGACTATTAATAGTATTTCATTTTTGTTTACCTGAAATGTGATAACTGTATCAAGATCACCGTCTTCTACAACAAACGCCTTGGCATACGAGTCTAATCTATCTGGATTAACCAGACGATAATGGCACATAAAATCAATTGAAGAATCTGAAATAAATTTAATGAACATTTCTGATAATAAATATTTAAACTTCGAATACGAAGAACTGTCGTAGCACTTCCCAATTCCACTCACTTCAGACTAACCGTAGGCTATAGTAATTCAATTTTCCATAATATCAGCAATTTACTGCGGACTCAACAGGAATATGGGGATATAGTGTCCCAGTCAACGGCGGTCAAAAACAAAAACTCAATAATTTTATAATGACCAGCAATATGATTTACAAGTGTGAGCATACAATGAACTAGGAACCAAGCTTGACGTCATCGCAGCCATCTCGGAATTGTGACGTCATATCAAAACTCCGTCAAACGATGCGCAATTGTCCAAGGAACAAACATGTCCATTTTCATATCGATCGTAAAGAAGAACAAGAACACGGTTAGTAGCGTTTGGGGCCTAGTTTCTGGTTCAATAATTCTCGTCTAAACTGTACTAACCTCGCTCATCTATGTCTGTAGAATAGTTGTATTCTTTAAGATGTGACGTATCTACAACTTTCTGCATGTGAAGCCGGAGTGCTGAGCCACCTGAACGTAGTAGCAGATTCACCCTTCGGACACCTTTTACTAAAATAACAATGATTATGCATGTAAACTGAGCATCAGTGTAATAGAAGAAAGACTCACTCAGTCTTTGGATATCTGAGCTACAAGTTCATATTACACACCACAAACGCCTCAACTAGAATCTGAAATTGTATTATTATCAACAGAAGAACAGAAACAAGACACATTTAACCCTGACAAAATAACAAACACCAGAGAGGTTGTGCCTGACAATGTCCGTGCCAAGGGATCTTTCACGTGCACGCCAATGTGTACACGGGACCTTGGATGTTCGTCCCATCCGAACAACTGTACGTTGTCCCTTGCCAGACCCTCTGTCCTACACCATTGGCAGGGGGTGGGGGCACTGTCGGAAAATCCCGATGAAATTTCTCTGCCAACGCAGGGATCGAAAACGGGACCTCCAGGTTAGCGAGCATCTTACCCACTAAGCCACTGTGCCCCCCCCCCCACTTCTCAATATAAATATACAACAATGTTTAACTCTGTAAGAAGTGGTGTCGGGTGTTATTGTGTGAGCAGGTGCGACTTACTGTTCTTATCTTCTGCAAGTTTCTTCTGTTTGTTCATTATATTTAACAGTGAGTCTTCCTCTTCACCATTCTCATTCGCTGATATAACTCTGTCACCTTCAGTTATCACAATATCATCACCCAGTTTCTCCTAAATTATAATATAATAATATCCGTATAATATATATTATACTAAAATTGCGGGTGAACTTTAAACAAGCCCCATTTTAAAAACTTCAGACGCTTTTTTTCTCTTAGAAATTTATTTAAAAAAAAAAAGATTGAGCCGGTTTGTCTCTTCTGAACACAGGTCGTGAATGCGTATAAAACCATTTAAATTTAACTTTTTCTGAACATATGTCGTGAAAGCGAAGGTTATTATAAACAACTTACCCGTAACTTTTTCAATATTTCTGATTTGGGTAAACTTGGATCAATTCCTAATTTAATCAAGTCCTCGTCGGTCATTTTATTTATATCTATTTTTTCACCAGGCTTCAGTAATACGTTCCCGTTTTCATCAACTTCAAATTTCGTCCATTCTCCTGAAAATAAACCGAACAAACATATTATTATCAAATTATAAAACTATGTTGAATATTCGAAACTTTGAGCTAAACGGTCATATTTTGTCACCAGCATCAGGACCGTCTAAAATGACAGGGTACAGAGCGACAGGACCCGGAGACCCCCCCCCCCCCCCCGAGGTTGGACAGGCGACCATACTACATGTTACGTACAACCGGAGAAATGAAAGGAAATGGGGGTTTGACGTCCTACTGTTCTGCTCCTAACCTGGGCTAATGAAGACGGGCATACATAATACAGTGTGCTATGAGGCAAATTTTGCCCGGGCAGCGGCGCTACCGCCTACTCTTATATCGAATTCCAACTGCCAAGGACAACCGGAGAAACGAAACCACGCATTCTTGACTAATGACAGACCTTATGATCTAAAGCACGGGCGTTAAATCATTCGGCCATCTATCCCCTTCCTCTAATTATATTTGAAATTAATGTTTTTAAAAATATCCTTAAATGACATTTAGAAGTAGAGGGAGAGGGATTATATAGGCTCTGACTGTTTCCTAATCCTAAAATTAAATAAAATATTGTTTATTAAAAAAACCGTAGAGGTAAAATATTCATAATAACACAACTTTATGGATTTACTACTTCTTGGGTTATTACATGCAACGTTTCAATACTCTTACAGGTATCTTTATCAAGCAATATTATATTTTGACCTACCTGTCTTGTTATCGTTATTATCTTTGTTGTCATTGTGATCTTTATCTATAACACAGAAGAAAATAAATAAAAAAGTGAGAGAAATGGGATTTAACGTCCACTCGACACAAACTAGGTGATTTCGGGACTAACATATGGTTTAATTTTATTTCAATAATTCGCTTGCGCATAGGGGTCTTTAGCAGTGGGAGGAAACCGGAGGACCCGGAGAAAACCCACGAGGTTGGACAGGCGACCCTGCTCCATGTCACGTACAACCGGGGATTCGAAACCAAGCCAGTTGCCTCAATGACAGACTTTATGATACAGCGCGCGCACGCTAACCATTCAGCCATCCAACCCCCCGAAAATAAATAAAGATACAATTAAAAACGAAATAAGCAAGCGGGAAATACAGTGGGTTTTAGCGTGCAATTAAGACAGACATACGCCATTTTAATTCCCATTGTCAGGGGTTCTATTGCGTGCACGCCAATGTGTACACGGAACCTCGCTTTTTGACCCATCCGATCGACTAGACACCATTCCGTGCCACACCCTCTGCTCTGCACTGACACCAGGAAATTTTTTAACTAACACGGGGATCGAACCCGATACACCTTGATCAGCAAATCAGCACCTTACCCATTGAGCCAACATACAATCAAATACATTCATTACTTCATTTATTCTTTTAGACGTTCGATGGCCTCCTCGGTCTAAAATACCTTTCTTAATTTATATAAGGAACGAATACATGCTACTTTATCTATGTTTTCAGATCACAGAAAACATTTTTTTCTTCATTAGAAAAGTTTGTAAGGAGACTAAAAATATGTTACGTCCTTACCACTTCTAATGACGTCGTTCAATATGGACTGAAATGATAACAAAAAATCAATTAAAGTATAAAAATATAATATATGGAATATCACGAGTTCATTCCCTTTTGCTGTTGGTCAGAACAAAGGAGAAAGAAATTGCTGTTGGTCAGAACAGGAGAAGAGAGAGAGAGAGAGAGAGTTTCCGTGAGGGCAAAGGCACAGTATAAGACCAACGCTAGTGGGACATGGTCTCACTACGGGGACATTTTGGTGTCCCCACGTCAAGGCTGTCTAAATCGTCTCAGAAGTTTTTCCGTAACGATTGAGTATTCAATCCTCCTTATATAATAGTTTCTCAAGCAAGCTGTACATAGATACCAACAGTAGCATTATTCAGAATTAATTACTTGGCGCCATTAAAAAATACATTATTAAACTTACATTTTCCTTTCTTGATAGCCTTCCAGAATTATCATCTGTTTTCTTATCTGCATAAATAAATAAACAAATACATTTGCATATATAAACAGCAATCAAGAATAACAGCATACTAATAGGCAAATATGAGAGATTGGAGTCCCAATAATGTCGTTATCAGGCGTATATGATGGTCCGGTTTATTCAGAACAATAGGGCGTTAAACACCCGTTTCATTTCAATTTTATATGATATTTCATTACGTTCAACTAAAGGAATTCCCGCCGCGAATATTCTTTTGTCAAATTTTCCACCACATGATACTGTCATCTCACAAATGAAATCAACAAATAAGAAGCAATCAAACCTCCAATTTCCTTTTGACGCACATCACAGACATGGAGGCGTTTTAAATATTAAAGCAGAACTAGAACATGCTATAGAAAATTTCTTTGCAACATACCTGAGCCATATTTTCTGTTTAGGGCGTTCAGTTTAGAGGGTTGATAATCAAATGCGGTACTATCTGTAAGGAGAGTTAAACATTACAACAATTTAATTTTTTAGAACTTTAATAATTGAGAAACATATTATGTTGTTGCTGTTGCTTTTTAACGTCCGCTTCTTATTTTTATTTTCTGTGGGACGAAACCGAAGTAATCCCAAGAGGTTAAGAAGGCGTACCTATATCTCAATCTGTTTCACAGAGATCTTCTAATATCTCTGTTACAGATGACTGTTTCGACACGTGACGTCACATCCCGCGGCGTCAATCACTGGCTCAATAGTGCGTGCATTGTTTACGTAAGACGTTACTGATTCGTGCTAAATGGTGAATTTTACTTATTTTAATACCCATTTACACTAAATGGGAAATGAATTTTACCTACAAATAATTCAAACGTCTTTATTTATTTTTCTAATAAATGAAAAATATGTTTTAGAATTTAATTTGTCGGGGGAAAAGGGTTAATTTTTGGGACTCATCAAGTCGCATCGATATGATGCTTATCAGTGATTGTAGCGGCCTAGCGAAAATTCACTGCTGATCAGTGTGCCTATATCTAAGAGCATATGCTCACACCCACAAGCGCCTGTATCGAGCAAAATATTTCAAAAATAACATTAGACCTAAGCTATATGACTAAATGTAATGTCTAAAGTCTGTTACGACCATGTGGTCTGAATCCGATTTCTAATTGAAGGGCAAATAACTCGCCTGAAACTGATTCTTTTTCAGTCGATATAATACTACCAAGGTGAGAAACGGTTGGAATTAAATAGTTGGGGTCAAAGTTCACTACTTTAGATTCCGTCAACCAGTGGCAATAGTTACTAAATTTCGCTAGGTAGACAATCGAGTCTGCGATGATGTTTTAAAATTCTCCACGTGACACTTTTTAAGTCAAATAAACGCTCGTCATTTTCCAAAACCTGACTTACCAATTGAAATTAAAAATTAAAATTACCTCGACCCTTCCTCGTGTTGCCTTTCACATCTTTAGTTTTTTTCGTCCAACTGTAAAACAATAAATCAACCAGATTGTGAATGGTATAAAAAACAGCTACGGGAGAACTATACGACGCCATCGAAGCCATCTTGAGTCTTAGGCTTTATTTGAAGTGTGTCACCCCACGAACATAAAGAAGATATAAATGGTTTAAATGTACGGACCCAAATTATAGACCGGTGCACAAGAGATATGTCTGGGGTTTCCGGAAGAAGGTGATACACCTTGTGGAAAATTAGTCCAAAGGGATAAGGGGGGGTGGATGGCCGAATGGTTAGTACGTGCGCGTTGTATCATAAGGTCTGTCATTGAGTCAACTGGCCTGGTTTCAATTCCCTGGTTGTAGGTGACAAGGAGTAGGGTCGCCTGTCCAACCTCGTGGGTTTTCTCCGGGTCCTCCGGTTTCCTCCAACTGCTAAAGACACCTGCGCGCAAGCGAATTATTGAAATTAAATTCAACCATGTGTTTGTCACGAAATGACCTAGTTTGTCTCGAGTGGACGCTAAACCCCATCTCTCTATCTCTCTCTCTCTCTCTCTCTCTCTCCAAAAGGGGATATATATTGCAGATGTGTCCTGCAGAAATAGCACACTTACTCGGAATGAGACAATCCCTGTTGTCTGTTATCATACTTTTGTATAGGCGTATTAATATCGCGAGCAGTGCCTTTTTCATACGTCACCATACTCTGGGGTTTACCATTCAAGGGCGTGGTTAGACGGTGTTGACTCATGATACTTTCCCGCCTTTTTTCTCGTTCTTCAAATAACCGTTTTCTTTCTTCTTCGATATTGTCCTGTGTCTTCTCCCGTCTCAAGTTTTGTCTGCATAAAAAAACAACAATATTTTCATTTAGTTTCAGAAAAGAGAAAGAAGTGGGACTTCCGCTTTCGGAATAAAAAAGACCAGTGTTCTTTCAAGTCGTGCATGCGTTAGCAACAGTTACCGGGACTATTTAGTGTCTTTGTAGGTCGAATACCAGGTCACCAATCCCAAGGCGGCGTAATTTTTTCGTCTCATATTTGTGTTAATTACTACTTTCGATTTCAGCTCGGCGAGTGTGCGGCTGACTCACTAACCAGCATCTTCTGGGTTTCAATCCCGGTGTTGGTCGAGATTATCCAGGCTGTTGGTGAATGTTAAAGGGCCTAGCAGGAAAATGCGTTTAGTAGACCGGGTTGGAAGAAAGACCAACGTAAACCCATGTTATCATTGGCGTGCACGTAAAACGAAACTTGAAACTTGACAGCTAGAATTCGACACAGACTAGACGGAATGCGGTTGTCCGGGTTACACTTCTCTCATAGTTGTCGGGACAAAATGTCTCTCATAGCATACTGCATGGCGTATGTTAGTCTGCATAAGCCTGGATGGTGCATCAAAGACATACGTTAAGACCCATTTCATTTCAATTTGAATTTCAGAGGACGAAACTGATTGATTGAAAGAAATTAACAAACCTGTCTCTCTTCTCCCGTTTCTCTCGCTCCTTTTTTTCTCGTTCCTTTTCCTCCTGTTCCTTCTTTTCTTGTTCTTCAAAATATTTCGCCTTTTCTTCTTCCGTCATATTAGCAAGCTTAGGACCCTTCTTCTCCCGGGAACCGCCCATTTTCTCTCGCGATTTGCCCGCCCGGTCTCGTGGCCCACCAAGACGTTTGTACTGATCGTCAAAGTTCGGTAACTCTATGTTATTCTTGTCGGTCGGTTTGGTTCCAGGCCACGTTGGATCAAAGACTCTCTGCTGAAGTCTGTTGTGTTCATCCTCTAACATCTTTCTCTTTCTCTCTTCTTCCTGTTCCCTTTCTTCATCTTCTTGCATCGTGTTGGCGACATCCTCTAGTTGTTGTAGTTTCTTGGACATATATCTGTCATAAGCACCTTCTGAACTGAAACAAGAAGAACGAGTCATCAATATCCCACGTCCTTGTTCACCAAAATCTAAATCCAATTTGTTTCCATAGAAACACAAATATTATTAAATCCGAGAAGAGAATGCCTGTTTTAGCCGAACGCAAAACTGATATAATAGGTTGATGTGAGTTCACAGTTTCAGAAAGATTTCTTGAACGGAAACAAAACCGAAACGGAACGACAGAACCCATTTTAATATACCCTCTCATAACTTCGTTTGGAACGGGATAATGTACAAACGCAACATAGAAGAGGTGTTGTCTAGGCAACCTAGCTCCGGGCCCCGAGCATATCACATGGTGTCCGTCCATCTTGATTAGCCAGCAGAAAAGTCAGTCACCAGAATCTCAATCTCATTAAAACACAGATACTATTTCGTTTCATTTAACTTGTCTTTACTACACTAGGATCTGGAAGAGTTGGTATCATTGACGTGTTCTGAATGGTGTGAGGGATTAGCCAATGAAACGGTTTGTTACGGCGAGCTTTAGGCGTGTTTTGCACGGAACTGTGGGTAATCCACTAGTAACATCAATGCTGATTGGTTAATCAAATGTCTGACGTCATAGGGTCAACTGCCGCTCGTATGACCTCTGACGCGACCTATCGCTACAACCGGGCAGATCTTCATGTAGTGTAGGCCATCGAAAGTATTAAAAAAACGGAACGAAATATAGATCTGTAATCAGATTGCCAGGATCTCATTTCATTTCAATGTGGCTTTATTATAAATTTACTAATCAGTTTTGAAAATTAAGATTAAATCAGTGCTTACCCGTCTGATATTGAACCTGAAAATATAATAGAATACATATTTGTTAATGAAAATACACTCCCGATAGTTTCTGGACTAAATCAAAACAATATATTACATCATTATTCATTTATGGTTTCTGTACTATTACATCCCTTAAAAACTACAAACTCGCTTAATGAAGCGAGTATTTCACACCGCCAATATACTAAAAATGAATATAAGTACACCACACGTTTGGTACACGTGTATCTCTTAGTATCGGGTGTTTTAGAAAGAGACCTCGTGTGTGACATCTGCGACTGTCGGCGTGTTACTTACATGTGACAAGTGTGCTGGGCGTTGGCATAGTCTTACCCATTTCTATGGAATAGTTTGTCTGTACTACCAAATGTAGAGGATCGGCTGTTCAAACACATACCAGCCTACTTTTAGTTTTAATTAGATTAACAGATACAGTAGTTAATAGTTTAATAAAGAGTTTGCCATACTTGCTTTAATAATTAAATAATAGACGATAAAAAAAAGAAAATATTGAAAATTGCAGTCAAATTACTTTATTCTGAACGGAGTTGTCACTGTTGGAAGTTTGGACTAGAAATAGACATCAACTGTGTCCGCAACGTCTACGAGAATTACCGATCGTTTGATTGACAAACGATAACTCCACCCACATATTCTCGATTATCAAGTAACATTTTCAATGTCAACGGTAGCCTCGCTTGGCAGGCCGTTCATCGGCGGTAACAGGTAGTGACGTCAGTGACTAACGGTAAACGTGAGCTTGGTCAACCATTTCTTGATTTAATTTTAAATGGACGACTGTTTAAATCCAATCTTTATCGAGGCCATCCGAGGGTCTACAGAGTTTATTTTAAGCTTGGCATGTAAATAAAAGTCGAATTAATAATTTCTATAACATCTGGAGCCTAAATAAAGACTTGCAATAGACAGATGTAGCTCTTGCATAATGTATGTTTAAGCTTCAACCATGCATAGTAAACCTTAAAATATGGTTACCTCTTCTGGGTGATATGGAACCAGTATCAGACAGTAGTAATTGGTTTTCTGGATCATCAACAACTTCCGCTTCACCATAACCAATAATATTACCATCTTCGTCACGTAACCGTTTTTTCTTGGTGACTGTTCTTGTTCCGCCTTCACTGAGATCACTATTATAACTACAATCGCTGTCCTCGTCACTTTTACTTGCTTTTGTTTTTGTCTCCTCTGTATTCGAACTAGCACATGATTCACTGTCGCTATACGTTCCATCCGCGCGCTTCTTCTTCTTACGTACTTGTCTTGTACCTCCGGGGCTCGTGACACTATAGTAACTATGAGCGCTACCTTCGTGATCACGATCTTGTCGTCGCCGTCGTCGTCTGGCCTCGCCGTCTTCGTCTTGACTACTGTGGTACGATTCACTTGACGCATACGTTCCGTCCTCGAGACGCTTACGTCTGCGAACTTTACGTGTGCCACCAGGAGTATAAACGCTGCGATAACTGAAATCGCTGTCACTATCTTCGTTGCGTTTTCCGGTCTTGTATTTAGCCTTCTCTTCCTTCGACATGTTTGCCTTCTTTTGCTTTCCGCCACCTTTCTTTTTAAAAGCTTTTGTTACATTAAGGATTCTGGAATGGGGATTAAATGATAATATCATTAAAAAAATGCTTTGGACATTTAACACAGCGAGTATGACGCGTCATCGCAACCATCTTGGATTTGTAACGACGACAAATCGCAAATCTAAGCGTAATTGTCCAAAGAACAAGCTGCATGCCAAATTTCATCACGTCGCACGAAGGAGAAGAAAAGGGCAGTTGATCAATATAACTCTTTCTCGGTACACAATACTAGAGAACAAGTATGCCAGTTTTATTTTCTTGGAATTGCCGGGGCCAAGCACAAACACAATTTTAAACAAACTATGAAACATATGTACTTGGACAACGTAATGCAACCTGTTATATTTCAAGCGATGAAATTTATTAAGTTTTTATTTTATTGTTCTGTTGTTAATTTATTTTATATAATATCCATATTCATTCTTGATATTCGTTCATTTTTTTTTTTTAAAAAAAGCCCTACAAAAATTTTTAATAATTATTTTTGGACTTACTTTCTTATAAGTTTTCCTGTTTTAGGATCTTTCGCCATAATATAAACATTCCCGTCTTCGTCTACAAACTGTCGGTTCTCTAAAATTATAACAAAAGAAACAAGGTTATAACAAAGCTAAAAGATTTTCTAATATTGAGAGATATTTAGTGTTGAAAAGAAACATTTCCATTTTATGCAACTAATGAACAAAACTTTCGACTCTTCTTTTACAGTGATGGATATTATTCTTATTTTGTTGAATTGGAATTTGTTTTGGACTCCATGGAGGAACAGGTGCACCCTTACTATAAACCTGGAACCAACCATCTTGGAATTCTGACGTCAATTCAAAAATCGACGCGCAATATTGCCAAGAGAGAGAGAGAGAGAGGGGGAGGGGGTGTGTGTGTGTGTGTGGGGGGGGGGGGGGGTAACGTCCACTCGACACAAACTAGGTATTTTCGGGACTAACATATGGTTCAATTTTATTTTAATAATTTGCTTGCGCGTGGTTTTCTTTTAGCAGTGGGAGAAAACCGGACATTGCCAAAAGAACAAGCATTTCAAGCTTATGTAGGTCGAACTTGAAATGGCGGAGCTTTAGGCTTTCTTTAAAGAGCGTTGCCCCATAAAGAAGATGAAGAAGCCCAAGTTTCTGGTTCAACAAAATCAAACAGTTTATGGTACATAATTATCTTTATATTGTGTTTTCGACTCGAATATGATGTGCTTCGATTCGAGTCTTTGGGGAGTTTTAATTGCAGTTACCTCCCTTGAATGGTATAAATGTAAAAATAACAGAATTAAAATCACCATTTCAATCAATTTTTTAGGGCGATATAATTTTAGCCAAACAATACAAAAAAAACAACTCAACCTCACCAATAAAACAACAACAAGTACATAAACTATAAACATACTTATGGAAAACAGCTACTGATTGATCTGCCCAGTTACTAAATGCCACTTAAAGAATAGAACAACAACAAGTACGTTTGATATTAGTTGGTTTTTTTTTCTTTTTTAATTTCATATGCGTATAAAAACGTAAAAAATACAAACATGGAAACAAACAAAACAATAAAATGTACAACTGTATAATAATAAAAACAACATGTCAACTCACTCGTATAATATCGTAAAACAAGATATTAATGCGTGTATGATATCAATACCGTAAACAAGATATTAATGCGTGTATAATATCAATATCGTAAAATAAGATATTAATGCGTGTATGATATCAATACCGTAAAACAAGATATTAATGCGTGTATGATATCAATACCGTAAGATAAGATATTAATGCGCGTATGATATCAGTACCGTAAAACAAGATATTAATGCGTGTATGATATCAATATCGTAAAACAAGATATTAATGCGTGTATGATATCAATATCGTAAAACAAGATATTAATGCGTGTATGATATCAATATCGTAAAATAAGATATTAATGCGTGTATGATATCAATACCATAAAATAAGATATTAATTTGTGTGTATGATATCAATACCGTAAAATAAGATATTAATTTGTGTGTATGATATCAATACCGTAAAACAAGATATTAATTTGTGTGTATGATATCAATACCGTAAAACAAGATATTAATGCGTGCATTATATCAATACCAAAAATGCGAACGCATATCACCAGAATGAAAACCACCTGTACTACTAGTAGTAGTAGTAGTAGTAGTAGTAGTAGCTGTGGTTTAACGTCTGCTTCCACGGTAGTGATATCGCAGTAAGCACTAGGGGAAGTCGAATGCGAATACCACCAAGCAGCATGTCGCATAACTTTTCGCCCAACAAGGCCAATCGCAATATTATCAATCCGCAAGATTTTGTTATTTTACGATACAATATAACAATACGTGTACATATTATAAGCACTCTTTTAAACTATTCCACAATAATACTGTTAGGTTTTTAAAAAAAATCAACTACTTTCGGTTTCTATTACCCGAACACATTCAGATTTTGCAAGCACTGGATTTTTGCATAGAATAGTCTAAATTTAGACGAGGTCGCAAGTAATATCACTTTTATAAACACTAAGGCTTTATGTTGCATAGACTCAAAGTAGAGCATTGTTTTGTTTTTAGAATAGGTTAAATCTTACAAAAATTGGAGCTTTGTGTAGAATAAGCTCACAGTTAGAGCATTGAGCTTTTGTTTAGAATAGGTTGAATTTTACAAACGTTCAGATTTAAGTAAAACAGCAATAAATATATAATCACAGAGATTTCGGTTGCAATAAATTCAACTGATTTATCGGATAGCAACAAAACCTCCTGAATCAGAAGAAGTCGGTTCTTCTAATTTGATTTTGGTTTAGCTCTTTTCATGGCACCATAATATATTGTATAAACTTGTAGTAACATTCTGGAATACAACTTTGACTTATATTAGTCCATGGCACGATAATATTAACGACCAAGTCTTCAGTGATTAATTGCCCGATTATTACAAATCGTTGGTCAAAAATAAAGATTTTAAGCACACGTGTGTTGCTTTCTTTATTAAATATTATGGCACAGGGTTCTGGGCATGCACAGAGCCGTGAACCAAGCTATTCACTTCGAATCCATAGTTACAACCAACTGCGATCTTCGGCGGCTACATCGGGACTAACAATTTCAGTACATCTCGGTGTAACTGTTTTTTTGGTTTTGCAAATAAATATATTAAACATATATCGACAGATTCACACTATAAATATCACAGCTTCAACTTTGATCAGTTTAGTTGGATCATGAACGAGAGGAATCCCCAGAATGGCGTTCTGGTTCCTTCTCGAGTAACTTAGGTAGTCTGAAATATAAACAGATTAGAATGATTTTTAGATATATGTATAGCGGTATTTATTGATAAATAAAGGGTAATTAAAGATGCGTTATGTAAGATTTAGATAAAGAGCTGGCCATTCTTGCTATATAAGTTCAAAATTAGATAATGCAAAATGAATTTATTGAAAATTGCATTCAAATTACTTTATTCTGAGAGAAGATATCACGGTTTGAAGTTTTACAAGATGTGGCATATATTGTTTATTATCAACGGTAGCCTACTTGTCATTCGAGACTTAGCGACCGTGTAAGAATCCGTTTAAATCTCCGTCATCCGATGATCTGGTGGGTATTTTATAGCCGCGTGCCTTGTCAATAAGTGTCTTATTGATAGTTTATGCAAGAATTGAAGCCAAAATAAAGACCTACAATAGGCAGATTTAGTTCTTGAATAATGAACCATTAAATACCAATAGCGCCATTATATCGCAATTGACTCTTATTCCACGCATGATTATCTCGTTATTACCACTAGAGGAGAAATAATTGTTGCTTTCTTACTTTGCATATCTTTGTAATAAATCTCGTTTTTCCTCTTTCACATCTTCAATTTTAATTTTTCCTGCAATAAGATCCTGGGCCTGTTGCCGCATCTGATAAGACGACTCTTTACGTAGAGGGAAGCCTAAAGGGTTAATATCCCTCTGTCTTGTACCCCCAGACGGTTTTCTCGTCATTGAATCGTATTTATTATCCGACATATCGAGTGGATTATCACAAATGTTTTCATGCATAGACAGGAAGAGAGGGATATAACAAATATAGTCCAGAAAGGAAATCTGAAAAATAGAAAAAAAAATTGCGATTAAAATGCGACTTTGACTTCAACAAGGAGATAAAAACACAAAATTCGAGCTCTAGGTATGGAGTTACCATTCCCCGCTTGTACGTGACAAGAAGTAGGGTCCCCTGTCCAACCTCGTGGGTTTTCTCCGGATCCTCCGGTTTCCTCCCACTGCTAAAGACCCCTACGCGCAAGCGAATTATTGATATAAAATTGAACCTTATGCTAGTCCCGAAATGACCTAGTTTGTGCCGAGTGGACGTTAAACCCCACTTCTCCCTCTCCCACATAACAAATCGAAAGCATGTCAAGTTTCATGTGATCTACTCGAATTGGCGGAGCCGTACATTTCTTTTGAAGGGTGTTGCTCAAGGAGAAACCCACCCTGAATTCACCCCTTTCTCTTACCTCATTAAAATTATTGGGCTGAAGACGGTCCATGATAAACTGCTGTTGTTTCCAATTCAATCCTCCGGCCATTAATTCTATTCTTAAAGATTCACATTTGATGTAATTAGGATCTCGATCAGAATTAGCGTTACAATAAAACATTTCTCTATAGAGATCCATCTTCCTCTGAATGTCCAGCAAATCACAGATCTCTAATAAATGTTTACTCAGGGGACTGGAAAAAAAATAAGGTAGACATATTGAATAAATGTTTACTTAGAGAACTGGAGAAAATAAGGTAAATATATTGAATAAATGTTTACTGGAAAAAAATAAGCCAGACATATTGAATAAATGTTTACTCAGAGGATTGGAAAAATAAGGTAGACACATCTCTAATAAATGTTTACTCAGAGGACTGGAAAAAATTCGGTAGACATATTGAATAAATGTTTACTCAGAGGATTGGAAAAATAAGGTAGACACATCTCTAATAAATGTTTACTCAGAGGACTGGACAAAATAAGGTAAACATATTGAATAAATGTTTACCCCAGAGAACTGGACAAAATAAAGCAGACATATTGAATAAACAATTAGTACAAATAAATGTTAAAAAGTATTCTATATTTTTACAGACATTTAATAAGTTGATGGAGCAATAGACGGGAACATAAGGCAGTTATATATATATTTACTCAGGGGACAGGGAAAATATAAGGCAGTCAGGCATATTGCATACAGAGTTCGTATAACTTAAAAGCAAAAGTATAATGATAATTTAGAGGGGGTCGCTGTGGCTAAGTGGGTAACACGCTGGGTCGCTAGCCTGGAAGTCGGGTCGAGTCTAGTCGTTCGGATGGGACGAAAAACGAGGTACCGTCTACACATTGGCGTGCACGTAAAAGATCCCTTGACAGTTGGAATTTGATACAAGAGTAGTGCCGCTGTCCGGGCAAAATTTCCCTCATCGCACAATGTATTGCTGCGTATGCCCGTCTTCATTAGCCCAGTAAACCCCATTTCATTTCAATTCATTAGTGGATTAGTGGCATTAGTAAATGGATAGTGACTAGGTCACCAAGACGCCTGATGGTAACGTACGATTTTAAACATCTACACATTCTAATGCAAGGCTCAATAAAAAGTTATATTTATAGCACGGATTTCATGAGTTAACAGGTTTAAACATCGAGGCCGTAGGCTGAGATGTTAAACCTGTTAACCCATGAAGCGTGCTATAAATGGCCCATAACATTGACACCTGCTCAATACGCTTGTTGTTATTGCACAGAAAACCCACCCCACTTCTCTATATGATTTCTACTAAAACTAGTGTAAACCAGCAAAAGTGTGCAATAACATTGAACATGTCTAGTTATTGCACGGTTAAGCTCCACCCAATCTACGAGAGGGAAAAATCTGCTTATTCAACGAAAAGAACAAAGGAAGATGTCCCGTCCATGTTATAACATATCTTCTTGAAGCTGTTTAAAAGATCGCCTACTGTTTGCAGGTTATTTGAGTGAAGAAATGAACTTACTCCATTTGTGTAACACGTTCAGATAAAGCTGATATAACGGCAAACATCCTAAACGTTATTTGTGAAGCATCATCTATCTTCAAAACCTGTAGAGATAAAAGTGTTTTGTTTTTTTTAATTTTTAATACTGAAATGAAATGAAATGGGGTTTAACGTCCTACTGTTTTGCTCCGAACTGGGCTAATGAAGACGGGCATACGCCGCCATACAGTGTGCTATGAGGGAAATTTTGCCCGGACAGCGGCACTACGGCCTACTCTTATATCGAATTCCAACTGTCAAGGGATCTTTTACGTGCACGCCAATGTGTACACGGGACCTCGGTTTTTCGTCTCATCCGAATGACTAGACAGCTGTCCTTGTCAGGCCCTCCGTCCTGCATCACCGACAAGGGGAAACCACGCCGGAAAATCTGGATGAACTTTCTCGGCCAATGCAGGGATCGAACACCCGACCTCCAGGCTAGCGAGCCAGCGCCTCACCCACTTAGCCACCGTGATCCCCAATTTTTAATACACACACAACCCAGGTATGCTTAAAGATACATTATGGGAGATTAGTTAAAGAGCTGGCAATTCTCACTATAATAGTTAAAAACTAGATAATGTAAAGGATAAAAAAACATAATCTCGATTATCCATTTTTTTAATTTAATTATGAATGGAAGTCGAACAGCAAATCGGAAAGTAATCCAATAAACATCGCAGGTTAAGTTAATTAATGAGAGAGAGAGAGAAAGGGAAATGGGGTTTAACGTCCACTCGACACAAACTAGGTCATTTCGGGACTAACATATGGTTTTTTAAAATTTTATTTACATAATTCGCTTGCGCGTAGGGGTCTTTAGCAGTGGGAGGAAACCGGAGGACCCGGAGAAAACCCACGAGGTTGGACAGGCGACCCTACTCCTTGCCACGTACAACCGGGGATTAGTTAATTAATGTCTAATTAATAGTTTATATAACATTTAAAGCCTAAAGAGAGACTTGCAATATCAGATTTAGTTCTTGCATAATGTATGTAACAATTATACAATATTTATTTCCCAATAGAAAATGTATGGAATAAAAACTTATACACACCTTTAGAACGTAATCTAATTGTTTTGGCGTTATTTCTTGTAAGCTAGGAACACCACCTAGAGCTCTTCGTGAATCCTGGATTTAAAGAGAAGAAACATTGCTATTTCAAATCTTGCATTTGTTTTCAATCTTGTATTACAACCGTTACCTTTAAAAGGGAGAACCAAACAATACGAAAATTTGACAAAAGCAGCTTCAAATTAAAGATACATTATGGGAGATTAGATAAAGAGCTGGCAGTTCGCACTATAATAGTTAAAAACTAGATAATGTAAAGATAATTTGCTGAAAATTTCAGTCAAATAGATTCACCCTGAACCGAGTATTTAGCGATTGAATTTTGGGCCTAGCCTCCATGGGTACGATAAAAAAAACATAGTCTTGATTATCCATTTTTTGATTTAATCAGCAGCAGCAGACCAGATTCTAATCCAGTAAATATCGCAGGCTAGCGATGACATTGATAATTGATTATGGTCTGGATAAGTTAATTAATGTCTAATTAATAATTTAGTTAACATTTCAGGCCTAAAGAAAGACCTGCAATTGGCAGATTTAGCTCTTGCATAATGTATGCTTAACAAAGAATGGTGTCATACTTTAACATCTACAGATCTTTCAATAAAACTTGATCGACGTCAAAATAGAAATGACGTCATTACAAACCTTGCTAGAGAGCACTACATCGCGGTCCATATCTTCCACAACAAATGCTCGGGCATAGGAATCTAATTTCTTAGAATCCACCAGTCGATAATGAGACAGGAAGTCTATATCGGCACCTTTAAAGGTAAATTCAAATTAAATAAAGAATATCCACACCGCTTGTATATTTATAGGTTATTTGGAAATTCCAAAATGATTTTCTAAATGTGAAATTTCTGTTTACTTTTACTATTATTTTAGATTTCACGCTCAGGCAAAAGAAATCCTTTCTTGGAGAATGGAAATAAAATGTAACATTTACAAACGAGGAACGTGGCTGGACAGAGGAGGTTTGGTTCACTGACATATGGAGGGTTTACGAGATGGGTTAAAATATTAAAGGGTCGAAGCTATATTGAAAGACTCAAAGCCCAAAAACCACCCAAACCATCCCGCCAGATCGATTATCCAGACTAGATTATAATCCTACCTTTTTCATCCAGATCTTTTGCGTATTGATCATCATCTCTAAGTTTACATAGTTGTAAAACTTTCTTCATGTGATCAATGATTTCCTGTCCACCTCGACGCATTAATACATTAACTCGTCTCGTTCCTGTTACTATAAATAATAAATACATTAACTAGCCTCATTCATGTTACTATAAATACACGAACTCATCTCATTCAGGTTACTATAAATACATTAACTCATCTCATTCATGTTACTATAAATACATTAACTCGTGTCATTCATGTTACTATAAATACATTAACTCATCTCATTCATGTTACTATAAATACATTAACTCATCTCATTCATGTTACTATAAATACATTAACTCGTGTCATCCATGTTACTATAAATACATTAACTCGTGTCATTCATGTTACTATAAATACATTAACTCGTCTCATCCTTGTTACTATAAATACATTAACTCGCCTCATCCCTGTTACTATAAATACATTAACTCGTCTCATTCATGTTACTTTAAACAATACATAAAAAACTATTACGATTCTATGTATATCCCTACATAAACGGGTGCAACAATTTAGAGCTAATTCAGTCAAACTGCGATATGCTTTATACTTTCGGTTGTGTATCACTACACGAACGAGTGTAGCGATTCGGTGCTGCGTGGTACAATCCGTCAGTATTTTTGTGTTCATTCTATAGCTTTAGACGACCTTGAACTGTTGCTTTCGAATTTATGAATTGACAACTTTGATTGGGGATGCAGTATTGTAAGATACTGACAGTTCCTTACATTGCGTCATAGCTGTCGTGATAACAGGGAAGTGACATAATATTCGGTATGAATAGTTGACATTCCCCCATCGACAGATGTGCTATGATAACGGAGCCTCTACTGTAATGGCGGACCGTTACTACACAGTATAGGGAAGTTTTGGGGGGTAATGAAATGAAATCGGGTTTAATGTCCTACTGTTCTGCTCCTAAACTGGGCTAATGAAGACGGGGATACGCCATACAGTGTGCTATGAGGGAAATTTTGCCCGGACATCGGCGCTACGGCCTACTCTTATATCGAATTCCAACTGCAAAGGGATCTTTTACATGCATGCCAATGTGTACACCGGACCTCGGTTTTCACCCCATCCGAACGACTAGACAGCTGTCCTTGTTAGGCACTCCGTCCTGCACCATTGACAAGAGGAAACCACGCCGGAAAATCCAGATGGCCTTTCTCGGCCAACACCGGGAACGAACCCGCGACCTCCAGGCTAGCGACCCAGCGTCTTACCCACGTGGTTCTCGTAATGTCTTAGACAGAATCAGAACTTAAGAATTGCACTGGGCGGGTGTTCTCTTGAAACTTTGGGGATCCCAAAAATGTAGATCCGCCATCTGATGAAGATATTGGGGAGTTTAAACTTACAAGTAGATATATCTAGGTCACTATCTGCAGCTAAAGCATCATCATCAACATCGCTACCATACTCAGCGAGACGCTTGGTTCCAATTTTACCATGTTCATCTGTTATTACAAGATCGTCACCAAACATCTCCTGAAATTACAGTTATCACCAACATTAAAATTATTTAGAGAGAATGAAAAAATGGGTTTAAGTCCACTCGACACAAAGTAGGTCATTTCCGGTCTAGCATTTCAATAATTCACTGTGCGTAAGGGTCTTTAGCAATGTATGTGTGTGTGTGGGGGGGGGGGCTGAAAGACCCGGAGAAAACCCACGAAATTAAATTTATTCAAGCCTATAATATGTATCCCTCACTAATTATGAAAAACCAGAAAACTTCTGTCTGTAGCCTTGACTTTAAAGACTACTTCCCCTGTTAAGGATTTGACCAGTTTATAAAAAGAACGAGGTCCACCACACTCCATTCATCATTATGGCTTTTCAAACAATCCCAGCAAGCCATTTCTTTCCAACCCATCAACTTCATTAGCCTGGTAGGGGCAAAAAAAATCCATTTCATTCACTCAAACATTCATCCCAATTCAACTATCTCAACAATCCCAGGAATCTAATTTTCAAATTCTTAAAAATAAAACTATGGCGACTTGCATAATTTAAACAATAATTTGAACCAGAGGGAGGCGTTACAAAATACACAACACCGACAACAATCTGATTAAAACACAGATCCTATTTCGTTTCGTTTTTTATAGTTCAAAATTTCGTTTTACTTTTCTTTTCTACACTAGGATTTGGAAGAGTTGTTATCATTGACGTGTTCTGGATGATGTGAGGGATTAGCCAATGAAACGGTCTTTTACCGCGAGCTTTTGGCGTTAGGTGAACGGAACTGTGGGTAATCCACTAGAAACACCAATGCTGATTGGTTAATCATATGTCTGACGTCATAGGATCAAAAGCCGCCCATACGACCCCTGACGTGACCTTCCAGATCTTCATGTAGTGTAGGCCATCGAAAAAAATATAAAAAAACCCCCGAAATATAAATCAGTATTTTAATCAGATTGCATCGACAAATACAAACTTATTACCTTAAGTTTTCGAGCGATTTCTTCTTTACTTGCATTAGGGTCGATACCCAGTTTTAATAAAGCATCATTAGTGAGTCGACTTATGTCTATTTTCTTTCTTCCTGCCTTTAATTTTAGCATACCGGCCTCGTCTACCTCAAACGGATTGCCATCCTCTGAAATACAATATATATACATCAATGTCAATATAATTTGTAAATAGGAATAACTGCACATTGACCAACATAACAAATGGAGCACACCCATATGAAGAGTCCAGGGGAAGAACGATCCAAGTCACATTTTTGTCTTTTCGCATAAAAGGCAAAACAGACTTTTGGACGAGAATGCTTAACACGAACAGAACAACGTGTGGGTTTAATTACAACTTCAAAATGATGTTTAATACGAATCATAATTACCAGTACAACCACTAACTTCCACTTTTCAGCCAAATTAAGGTCAAATAAAGGGTACGATTGACGTGTTTGTCCGGGGGACCATTTCAGAAGGGCCTTGGTTCGATGTGACTCCAATCGTTTTTACCTGAAGTTGATTGTTCCATAGAAAGCTTATGCAATTTGCTACCAGATGGTGCTATTAACTGGGGGTCGTTGAATAAGTGACTTGGATCGTTTTCCGAGGGGCTCTTCATATGATAATATGTAATTTGAACAGTGCATTTGTAAATACGGATAACTGTACACTAACCCACAGATATAACAAACGGATAGGATATCGGGGAAAATATGAAAGACAGATTATAATATATCTATAAATGTTGAAACATATCTTGTTAAATTTATTAACGTATGTCAATAATCTAAGGAATAACAGCGGAAAGGGAAAGAGACAAATGTTGCCCTACCTTTGCTTGCCTTTTGTTTATCTTTACTTTCAATCTTTTTCACTTCTTTTAAATTCCCATCTTTATCTGAATTTAATAGAAAACACTAGAGTTGTTGATTTAATAATAAGTACAGGAAGACTGCACTACATACAAATAAACGTGTAACTAAAACATAACAGACAGACACCACCAATGCATGCCAGTAAATCGATCCGAGCTATACTGTCACGGGCACCACTAAAAGGGCGGAGAGAGAGAGAGGAAACCTCGGTCATTTCGGGACTAACATATGGTTCAATTTTATTTCAATAATTCGCTTGCGCGTAAAGGTCTTTAGCAGTGGGAGGAGCGGAGGGCCCGGAGAAAACCCACGAGGTTGGACAGGCGATCCTACTCCTTGTCACGTACAACCGGGGAATCGAAATCACGTCAGTTGACTCAATGCCAGACCTTAGGATATAGCGCGCATGCGCTAACTATTGGTCCCCCCCAACACTAAAAAGGAGTTTCCACAAAAAAGAGACTAATTTACAAATGTAATTATTATTTTTTTTACAGAAAGATATTAGCTATTATACGATATGGCGCGTAATAGCTACGTTGGTATGAATTTATAAATCTTAAAAACTTACCATATTCATATTCATATTCTGATCCGCTGTCTCCGTCCTGAAAGAAAATGATTTTCTTATCATGATAAAACCAGCTAAACGGAGAAATAATAATAAATTCGTGTAACAAACAATATCTTCTATGTTCACATTGTGTAGCCCATGAATGTCTCACAGATTGTCCAACATTATTTGGCAATAGAGACCATCTTGTACAAATAAATCTTTAAGTCAGATTGGCTATCTCCGGGATAATGCCCACATGCATTAGTACATGCCTTATCCACTATGTAAGAGTTTGTCCATTTTATGTCAAATGATTAAAACAATATAAACATAAGTCTTACCACCATCTTTCGTCGTGTCTTTTTAATAATTCGACCCTTGTCATCATATTCCTGAAATATAAAAGTAAACTTACTCAAAACCCTGGAAATAAAAATACGAGAATGTTGCCTGAGCAGTGACATTTCCTCCTACCCTGCTCGTGTCCAATTGTCACGGTTCGTTTACGTGTACGCTCATAAGTACATCGGTGGAACTTGGTATTCCGTGCCATCAGGGCCGTAACTAGCTCAGATCAACGCGGGGGCGGGAAGTGTTCTCAGGGGTGCTGTAATATTGACGGACAATGTATATCTATTGTTTTTATGGTCGACAATTTTTTCACAGGGATGGCTACAAAAAGTTTCGCCCCCCCCCCCCTTAGTTACGGGCCTGCGTGCCATCCCAATGACACTGGACAAGTTCCTTTTCAGCGTCGCGGGGTCCACCCTTGATAAAAAAAGCGTTAAACCCCATTTTATTTCATTTTATTACCCTGGACTCGAATCTAAAGGAACTTACATAATCAAACTGTGATTCGCTACTTTGTGGTCGGTGTTGTTTTCCCTTCTTTTTCTTCCCTGTTGTGACATCATACTCTGTCAAGGTAAAAAAAAATAATGTAAAATATATCGGTTACAGCCCAACAAACCAACAAACAAGAGCTCATTCTATATTGGCTAGCCTATAGGAAAAACTAGCTAGTATAATACGATTTTAATGAAACAGGAAGAGTTGGTGCAGCTACGCCACTTGCTCTTATACTCCAAATATCAACCTCGAGACAGTCCTAGTGTAGTGAAGAGCAACCAAGAATAAATAGTATGAATGAGATAAGGATCTACATTAATAATTATAATTCTAAAGTATGGAAACATATAGGGAAAAGAAATCTAATATGTATATAAGTAAAGGGAAACTAAGGTTACAGTATGACAAACAGTTACTGATATAAACTAATTGGCACTAAAATATTAGCATAAAGAAAGAGGATAAATTTTACTCACCCGGATTAGTCGAGGAACAATCTACTCTTATGTTATAATAGAAGCGAGGACGAGGAAAATATAAAGCGAAAAGCACGAAATATAAAGCGAAAAGCACAAAATATAAAGCGAATAGCATAAAATATAAAGCGGATAGGACAACATATAAAGCGAATATAATATAATATAAAGCTGATAGAACAAAATATACAGCGAATAGAATATAATATAAAGCGGATAGGACAAAATATAAAGCGAATAGCATAAAGCAAATATCACGCAATATATAGCGAATAGCACAAACTATAAAGTGAATAGCATAAAATATAAAGCGAATAACATATAAAGCGAAAAGCATATAATAAAGAGAATAGAATATAATATAAAGCGGATAGGACAAAATATAAAGCGAATAACATAAAGTATAAAGCAAATAGCACACAATATAAAGTGGATACTACAAAATATAAAGCAGGCAGTATAAAGTAAACAGAGGGAGGGGTTAATCAGACATAGTAAGATGTGTAAAATGAAGCTAAGAATTAAATAATGCAGTCCAAAAAATTGAAAAAATACAAAGAGAGGGATAAAGGAATAATATCAATATATTACACGAAGAGTGATCGAAAAAGATAATAATAAAAAAACATACCATCGTCTGATTCGTCATCTGCTTCGTGTCCATCTCTTTTGCCTTTCTTTTTGCCCTTACTGTAACATAAAATCAACCATGATATCATTCCAAAACTTTCATCCTGTTTATTTACCTCCCTTTGATGGGAGTCCAAAATGTTACATCGAATAGTAACCGGGAAATACCCAAGTAAATAGGAAATGGTACAAGTTGCTCTATAAACAGAAACAATACCCTGGTTCGTACACGATACCAGTCGATAGTTTTGATACATCGGTTAGTACCGGGGCAAGGGGTTATCCGGTAAAATATCATACGCAATATGAAACAAAGAGAACGAAAAACGGATAGCAAAACTGATGGCTATAGTCGGGTTGAAATGCCAAAATAAGAACTTACCCAGTATGCCCTAGTCCTGGTTCTCGTCCATCTTCTTTCTTAATAGGGTCTAAAATATCCCTCTTCGATCCCTTCTCATACGAAACCATACTCTTAGGTTTCTTACCATCACCACTGATGGAACCTTTCTTACCCCCAGCAGCGACTTTCTCTTTCTTACGTCTGGAAGTAAAAGAATAATAGTCTTTATCAAGAGGTCGCTTTTCAGTTGAGAATATTTAAAGAATTTCATGATAAAGAATTAGCCTATTTATAAAGACACTAACCACACTTTAATGTCAAATTTTAGTAATTATATTTTCAAAGAAGATATATTTTCAAGGATAAAAGTAAATATTTTTTTGATTTCTTAAATATTCATTATTCAAGCTAAAGTTCAAAAAATCGATGCGGCTGGAAAAAAAACCCCTAATACATGACAGAGTTCATATTATATACAGTGTTCTACTTTGGTAGGAAGAAAATTAGGAAGAAACAGAAGCAAGCCTTCGTTTAAAGGATTTTATAAAATTAAGCAGTTGATATTTGAATTAATAATTCAGGTGGGTGAACGAATAAGTGGCTTATATAATAATCTGTTTTGATGATAAATGATATGACATATGGGTTACTAGGGTTGATTTGTTCGGGTGGTAAATGGTATGATATATAGGTTACCCGGGTTGATCTGTTAGGATGGTAAATGGTGTGATATATGGGTTACTTGGGTTGATCTGTTAGGAAGGTAAATGGTATGATAGATGGGTCACTCGTGTTGATTGTATCTGTTAGCGGATGCTATATTATTGTATGATATGTGAGTTACTCGGGTTGATTGCATAGATCTGTTAAGGGGGGAGAGAGAGAGAAATGGAGTTTAACGTCCACTCGACACAAACTAGGTCATTTCGGTGCTAACATATGGTTTAATTTTATTTCAATAATTCGCTTGCGCGTAGGGGTCTTTAGCAGTGGGAGGAAACCGGAGGACCCGGAGAAAACCAACGAGGTTGGAAGATCTGTTAGGGTGGTATGATTAGTTGATCAGGTGATTGGATTAAGATCGTGTCAACACACAGTGATTCAGCACGTCACATCTAAAACTCTTTAAAACACAATAAACCAACTTGTCATTCGCTTTAACCATTTCATCGTATTTATCGCCATATTTCTCTCGTCGCCTTTCTTCTCTGGCAGCCTTTCGTTTCGCTTTTTCCTCAAAATATTGCTTCTTTTCTTCCTCTGTCATATTCTCCAAATCAACGTCCTCAGAAATGGTGCTGTCATCACTGAAGATGGCGGATGAGCTTCGCCGCCCTTTCCCTTTTCCTTTGCCTTTATTTTTACCACCTTGCCCGCCTTTACCACCGCCACCAGCCCCTTTCTTGTTAGTTTTTTCTTTTTTAACTTTCATTTTCCCACCTTTACCATCCGATACTTCCGTATAAACACTAATAAGATCGTTATTGAAAAATGTAAATTTAAAATAAAAAGACTATCAATGAAATAACTAACTACCGATTCTCTACAAACGGAATATAACTATATAAACCTTTATTTATAAGAAAAAAAGCCGAATTGAGCTTTGCCTAAATTGTAGTTAATGGGGTTAAAGCTATGAAATATTACGACTTTAACTAAGAACTAAATTAATTTTGCCTAATTTACAGTAAATGAGGTCTAAGCTATAAAATATTGCGACTTTTCACTAAAAACTAAATTAATTTTGCCTAAATTACAGTTAATGAAGTCTAAGCTATGAAATATTGCGACTTTTCACTAAAAATTAAATTAATTTTACATAAGCTGTAGTAAGTGGGATTTAGATTGTGCAATACTATACAATTTTGATAAACACCTTCCCCTATTCCGGAGACTTAATTCTGCACAATAAAAACAATAGTAGTTATGAAGAATTAAATATGTATCTATTTCATATATAAATAACCATTTATCTACAAGGCCCCGAGTTCACAAAGCATTCTCAGGCTTAAGTTAAGAATTTATTCAAAATTTTTCACCTTATTTTAACTAAAATATAGCCTTTTATAAAGCTTTTGTTGTTTTAATAAGAAACTATGTGCAAAGTTGTGTGTTTCTGGCTCAAAGATATTTCTCAAGAACAGTGATTGGAGGTTGAGAATGCTTTGTGAACTCGGGGACCTTGTTAATTATTTTCTAACAACATTTGAAAAAGACCACTTACGTTTCATCGTCGGAATCTGAAACAAAATAACAATAACAATTATGATCAAATAGTCATAGACGATAATATCAAGGTGACAATAACGCTGCCTTGGCAAAGAACCAGGAAATCCAAGCAAAACCCTAATAATATAACACAGAATCTGTATGATTTAAAGCAGTGTCCATAACATAACTAAGACAAACCTTTCCCACATTTGGTAACCTTGGTGACAGGGGCTAAGTGAGAGGGACGCAATGACGAGCTTTGTGTCATTGTTTTGAGGTTTTGCACCCCCTTGAGTTTTTGCAAAAGATCACGCGCTTTCAATGCGATTTTCAACATTCTAATCATAATCATAATGCTCAACCAGTGTCAAACATATACCGTGGGTCAAATATGCTACAAAGCGACTCTAGCATGCTCAACACAGCCCAATATTAACCGGCGACACTAGGACGGACTGCCACCCCCTCCCCTCCCCCGCACACACATATAAATATTGTTTTTTGGTTGCCCGGACGGGATCTGGTTCCTCAGGCAAAATCATGGGTCACCGCGTCCCTGTTTGGTGACGATACAAGTAAAAATGGCCTCCTACCTGATGAATAGGCCTCTGGAGCAGCATAACCAATAACTTTCCCATCTTTATCACGGAGTTTCTTCTTTCTTTTTCTATGATGAGTTCCTCCCACACTAACTTCACTATAGTAACTATGGTCGCTGTCACTACCATGTTGTCGTCGCTTCTTCTTCCCCTTCTTCTTGTTAGCGATCCCTCCGCCTTCTAACTCACTGTCGGAACTATGATAAGACTCACTAGCACTGTAAGTTCCATCCGCCCTTCTCTTCTTTCGTTTAGTATGCCTTGTACCACCCTCGCTCACCACACTGTAATAGCTGTGCGCACTTCCTTCGTGTGCTCGCTCTCTTCTACGACGTCGACGTCGGGCAGCTCCCTGTAAATACAGTTACAAATCTTCATCTTTGTGAAAGTTCGACATAATTATAAAGTAGGTATTCATTGCTTCGTGCTGGTAACCGAAAGTAGAATTAATCATATTTTATCATTGCTTGATAGTGACTAGAGAAGCCTAGTAGAAACGTCGTAAGTCGTAATTGTATTACATAGAATTATGACCTCTATATTCCAGTTCAATTACTAAATGCCACTGAAACAATTTAGATGTAAACTGAGGACGATGTAAATATATTCTGACAAAAAACTTTTTGAACGGGACGGGAAGAGTGATGGTGTTTAGCATTCACGCCATACAAAATGAAATAAATGGAGTTTAACGTCCTACTGATCTGCTCCGAACTGGGCTAATGAAGACGGGCATATGCCATACAGTTTGCTACCAGGGAAATTTTGCCTGAACAGCGGCACTATGGCCTACTCTTATATAGAATTCCAACTGTCAAGGGATCTTTTACGTGCACGCCAATGTGTACACGGGACCTGTTTTTCATTCATCTGAACGACTAGACAGCTGTGCTTGTTGGGCCGTCCGTCCTGCTCAACTGATAAGGAAGGGGGGGGGGGTGCACGCCGGAAAATCTGGATGAACTTTCTCGGCCAATGCAGGGATTGAACACCCGACCTCCAGGCTAGTGAGCCAGCGTCTTACCCACTTGTGTTTTAATCCGATTACACACAATTACTGAGACATGATATATATGTTTACTGTGACGTCAATAACTTTTATATTGATAGAAAATACCAGCATTGGTATCTTTGTTCATGGTATTGTATTGGGCTTACCTCCACGTCCTGGTCACTGTGATAGGATTCCGGTTCACTATATGTACCATCCTCTTTCTTCCGTCTTCTGGTCACGTGCCTTGTGCCGCCATCACTCTTATAACTTTTATAACTGTATTCACTATCGCTGTCTTCATCTCGTTTTCCAGCTTTTCTTCTCGCCCTTTCTTTGGGTGTCTCTTCCTCCCAGTCCCCTTCAGTCCCTCCTTTACCACCCTTCTTCTTTTTACCCTTTCCGCGTTTCATGGACGCAATACCACTGTCTACGTCAGATTCTGGGTGATTCAGTTTTCTAGATAGAAATAAAAATAAAGATTAATGAAACTGATACTAGCATCCTGAAATTAAACTGTAACAACCTTCTCACCCTTTCCGAAAAAACAATATATAATCGACAAATCTAAAAACAAACCAAAATATGCCTTTATTTCGTTTCATCTTTATGTTTCCGATTTTCTATGGTACATTCAACACAACAGGCATTCAACCATTTGCCATACATGTAATTGTCAATCTGTTTCACAGAGGATTACGTAAGTCTTCTAATATCTCTGTAAAAAATGACTGCCTTCAACACGTGACGTCACATCACGCCACGTCAATCATTGGCTCAATGGCGCGTGCATTGTTTACATAAGATGTTACTGATTCGAGCAGAATAGAGCCTTTTACTCATTTTAATACCTATTTACACTAAAATAGGAAATAATCTTTTAGCTACAAATACTTCAAACGTCTTTATTTATTTTTCTAATACATAAAAAATATGTTTTAGAATTTAAGTTAATATTTGTGGCTCATTAAATCGCATCGATGTCATCCTTATCAGTGATTGTAGCGGCCTGCAGAACAGAGTTTAGTCAGCGAACCGAGCTTCTCTTTCATTGTCTGCTCGTAGCACACAAGTATAAGCTTCACACAATGGTAAAACCCGTCAGATGTAAGCCAAACTGAGTTCGGTAAAATCGAAAATCTAAAACGAATTCACAAACATCAGATTGAAAAAACTTACTTTTTATATTTTTTACCCGTGATTGGATCCACCACCACCTCATACACAGCGCCATCTTTACCCACAATCCTTTGGCCTGGTTTAGCTGTAAGAATAAAGTACCAGAAAAGGTTATTGTGCAATGATAATAAGACCAGTACATGCAACCAGAAGCTCACCTAAAAAGGAACGGACGGAGACTGGGGGGGGGCGCAAATGTAGGACTACCGGGAAAATAGAAAGCTACGAAACTTCAGACAAAATTTTAACAGTCAATGTATGTTTAATGTGTATTGTGTTGCGTTTTTCGAGGGCGGTAGGGGCAGACGCAAGGACCACTGCTACGTTTTCTTTATGTATTGGATTAATCCCGGAACAAGTGTGATAAGGATGAGCTTAAGATTACATTTAGATCATGTCTAACAAACAAAATCGCACTATTCATCAATACGGGTATTCATTCGGACAAGACATCATTTATCGAGAAATAGTAATATCACCTCCAGTTATGTAAACTCCCAGTTTTTTTTTAAATGTTTATATTGTAAAATAATTTGAGATGAAAAAGTTATTACCTTTTTGCATTTCAATATCATCAGAAGCAGCAGAGTAAACCGTAGAAGCCTTTTCCCAATCTTCGATCTCTTCTCCTTTCTCTAAGGTGATGAATCTCTTTAAAAATTCCGGATTCCCGCCTGATTCCTGGAACTCTTGAAACTCGTCCTCGGTCATAAGAATAGTTTTCTCGATCAACCTACCACTCTTGGTCCTAATAACTGTCTTGACCACCTTCATAGGTTTCCCATCTGGTGACTTCTCCCAAGATTCTATCTGTCCATCCTCCTCGGTGACATACTTCTTGAGGATATCAGTAGGATCACCTCCACCTTTAATCATCTTATCATAATCCTCAGCACTAACCATAATCGTTTTCTCAATAATTCGTCCACTCTTTGTCCGTATCTTTGTTTTGATGGCTTTCATAGGTTCCGCACTCTGCCAGGACTCCAATTGCTCCCCATCTTCAATCTGAATATACTTCTTTAGTATGTCACTCGGATCCTGTCCATCTTTGATCATGGCGTCGTAGTCTTCTTGAGAAATCATGATGGTCTTCTCAACTAAACGACCACTCTTTGTTCGTACATAAGTTTTAATTGTCTTCATCTTCGCTTCCTCCCATCCCGCAACCTGCTCATCCGCGTTGACGTAATGCTTTAGGATTTCTTTAGCGTCCTTTTTTCCTTCTTTTATAGCCTCGTAGTCCTCTTTCGACACGTAAACCATTTTCTCCACGATCCGACCGCTCTTCGTTCTGACAAACGTTTTGATGGCCTTGACCTCATCTTTGTCCCAAGACTGAAGTCCAGCAGCTTCATCTTTGGATAAATATTTACCCAAAATATCCTCCACACCTTTTCCCGATTTAAATGCTTCATAGTCCTCTTCCGACAGAAAGATGACCTTCTCCACCAACCTACCACTCTTTGTTCTAATGTAAGTCTTGATAGCTCGCACTTCTACAAACAAACAAATTAGTTTAAAATCGTTACGGGTTGGGTTTAACGTTTTCGGTGCCAAGAATCTTTTGGTGTCTTAAAGTTTCTAGTTTATGGACGAAGTTGTTTCAATGGCATTTAGTAATTGAAATGAAATAAACAGATCACAATTCTATGGAATACAATAACTGTTTATTACTGAGCGACGTTTTGACTAGGCTTCTCTGGTAATTATCAAGCAGTAATTGTATTCCACAAAATTGCAATCTGTTTATATGGACGATGGACAAAATAAATTCGTACATTTGTTTACCAACGAATGAAATCTCTATCTAATAATAACCATTCTATCCCTTTAAGTTTTCCCAGTTTTGTATTTTTATTGACTGTTTGGGGTAGAATCGAAGAAAGGGGTTTGGAATTGCATGTTTTGTCAAGTTTTGGCAAAGAATAATAGATGTCTTTAGCAGTGATTGAACTGGTGGATCACAGAAAACCCACATCGTTGGGCAGCCGACACTTCTCATTTTCGGACCGAAACCACAACCCTTGACTCACCTACAGCGCACACGTTAGCCCACTCAACCAAGGTACGAAATTGGCATACGTTAGCCTACTCAACCAAGGTACGAAATTGGCATACGTTAGCCTACTCAACCATGCATCCTGCACCTCCTCGTTAAGGTACTAAATTGCTTGTAATAAACTTACTGTGTTCCTTTATGGCTTCAAGTCTTCTCTGCTTTATAAGTTCTCGTTGTTTCTATATAAAGATAAACATTGAACATGATTCAAGAAATTGTAATTAATTTAGCGATTTTGAATTTCTCGATTTTCAATGTGAATATTTTTAAAAGTATTAAGATACTTGACAATAGTACCTAAACTGGATGTTTTGTTTTCAAATATTTAATTAAAATACAAATTAAGTTAAAGGGGGTTCGCTGTATGCACGTCTTAGAATGTCTCTGAAGATAGAGAACTGCATGTCTCATGGAAGTTAATCCCTCGGGTCATTTCATATTGTTTATATTATTTAATATCTATCTTACCTGTAGTTCTATTTCTTCTAACAAACATTTAATATACCAATATCCATGTCTATAACCACCTCCTATACGTATATATTTATGCTGAAAAATACACAAAAACAACTTCATACTTTTAGGGGGAAATATCAAAAAAAAGGTTATTTTATTGGGAGGAAAATATAAAATGATTATTTTATTGGGGGCCAAATATCAAATTCAAGATTATTGAATAGGGGGAAAATATTAAGTAGAAAATTATTTTATTAGGGGAAAATATCAAATACAAGATTGTTTTATTAGAGTAAAATGCTAAACACAATTAATTAGGGAAAGTACTAAATACGACATTAATATAACATTATTTAATTAGGGGAATATACCAAATACAGACAACTACAGCACCGTACACGCTGGGCCAGCGTGGTTTCCGTGACATCAACAAGATAAAACATTTATTTTTACATACATGGCTTCTATGGGATAGACAGGTAGTAAATATAGCATCAATTTAATTATATAAAAAGAAGATAAAATCCAATAATACGTACTGATTCACATTTCTTATGAGGAACTTTCATCAAACATTTCAAACAATCTTCGGTAGAAGTCTAAAAGGACGAAAAGATCCAAATTATCATAAAAATATTTACAATGCTATCTTATAGTTTAGAAGATTTCCATCCACATTATCAAAAACACAGATAAAATACAATAGTATTGAACAATGATGATGGTTGTGATGGGAACGGTGATGGTGGTTGTGATGAAACTGATGATGGTTGTGATGATACTGATGGTTGGTTTGATTAAACTGATGATTGGTTTGATGAGATCGATGATGGTTGTGATGAGAATGATGATGGTTGTGATGCGGATGATGACGGTTGTGATGAGAATGGTGATGTGTGTGATGGGAATGGTGATGTTTGTAATAAAAATGATGATGTTTGTGATGGGAATAGTGATGTTTGTGATAGGAATGGTGATGTGGGAATGGTGATATTTGTGATGATAACGATCATTGTTGTGATGACAATAATGATGGTTGTGATAGGAATGGTGATGGTTGGAGTGAGAATGGTGCTTGTGATGTGACTGATGACGGGTGTCATAGGAATGCTGTGGGTTATGATGCGAACGGTGTTCGTAAATGGCAATTATGACGATGGGTATGGGTAGAATGACGAGAATGACCTGCTCATGACGAGAATGACCATGATTATGACACGCGAATGATCATGAGTGTACCTTTGGTAAAAAAGGAGAACTTGCACAAAGTCGCGACTCCACACCGGCAGCTCTTCTGTATTTAGCAGAAAATCTGGCTCTTATATCATGCAGTGGATTTCCCTGTAATTATTGAAACAAAATATTACCATATGTTAGTCTCAAAATTACCTAGTTATATTGAATTGACGTAGACCTAACTCACTTCTTTATAAGCATTAATCGTTCGGATGGGACGAAAAACTGAGGTTCCGTGTACACATTGGCGTACACGTAAATGATCCCTTGTTAAAGATACATTATGGGAGATTTTTTTTTACAGAGAATTGGCCATTCTTGCTATAACAGTTCAAAAGTAGGTGATGAAAGAAGATATTTCGAAAATTTCAGTCAAATTACTTTATTCTGAACATAGTTATCATCGTTGTAATATTTGACTAGAAATGGTAGTGAAATGTACCTTCACCGTGGCTGATCGTTTGATTGACAGGCGTTAACTCCACCTACATATCTCGATTATCAAGTAAAGTTTTCAATGGCATGCGGAAACGCTCTACAGCGGCCTTGCTAAGTACACTCTATCATTTAGCCGCGATCTAACTGACGTATTCTCATCAGGATGCGCCATATTTGAATTAATTGATAAGCGAAATCCTATTTAAATCCGAGCTGTAACCGAGCCATCCGTGGGTCTACAGAGCTGATTTTGGGCTTGTTGTTTAAATAAAGACCTAATTTATAATTTCTATAACATCTGAAGCCTAAATTAAGACTTGCAATAATCAGATTTTGCTCTTGCATAATGTATGTTTAAGTGGAATTCGATATAATAGTAGGCCGTAGCGCCGCTGTCCGAGCGAAATCTCCCTCATAGCACACTGTATGGCGTATGCCCGTCTTCATTAGCCCAGTTCGGAGCAGAACAGTAGGACGTTAAACCCCATTTTATTTCTAAACCTCTTTGAGTTAGTTTAAATAATGTATTGAATTGGGGTGACAAGATATATTTCATTATATTGGATACTAGGGGTTTAAAGTATCTACTCATCATTTGAGGGATTTGTAAATGTTAAACTTAACATTATACAAGAGCTAAATCTGCCAATTGCAGGTCTTTCTTTAGGCCTGAAATGTTATCTAAATTATTAATTATACATTAATTAATTTATCCAGACCATAATCAACACTCGATGGAATCGCTACCTGCGATATTTACTGGATTATGATCCCATTTGCTGCTTGACTTTCATTCATAATTTAATCATGGAATGGATGATCGAGACTATTATAGTTTTTAACTATTATAGTGAGAACTGTCAGCTCTTTATCTTATCTCCCATAATGTATCTTTAAATAATCAACTTGAATATATTTTAGTCTGGATCAAGCCGCGAACAATTAGATATTGGTCGAAAATGCAAATTACAATCCTGCTTCAACCGGACACGGCTGGATAACAGCACGTCATTTTCATTTGGCTACATTCTGTTTTGTTCAGTCCAAACCCGAATTGATATGCGATAATCTGTGAAAAGCTAACCTTCTATCGCCGCCACAAAGCTATCTGGAAAAGGCAACTCGTAATTCCTACGCAATTGGGCACTCGCGATATGCCAATACAAGGTGTCTTAAAATTCCAAAATACTCCCAATAAGTCTTCTTTTGCCAAATTCTTGACTATAAACTAATAGATGCTACAAAATGTTGTCTAACACGGGACATAGATTTTTTAACACAGCGGTAAGGCACACGTTAATTATCCTGTCGGTTTTTGTTACTTACTTCTGTGGAATAGTATGCTTAATGTATATATACTGTATATTACGAACTTGCAAGTAACAGAATAGAATAACAAAATATTGGAGAGGTATTTTTATATACAAAATGTATATAAAGATAATAAAGTATTCGTAATATAGTAAGAATCCCCGTGCCAACTGATATACCTTGTGCCCCCCCCCCCCACACACACACACACACACCACCACAACACGCAAAATGTAGAGGAATTGCGTGGCCTAATGTTTAACGCGTGCGCGCTGTATCATAAGGTCTGCCATTGAGTAAATAAATAAAAATTGAACCATATGTTAATCCCGAAATGACCTAGTTTGTGTCGAGTTGCCAAATATCGTGTATATTTTTGTATTTATTGTATTCATAATAAAATTAATTTGTTTCTTGTGAAATTGACACCGGTATAGCACGTGCACCCATATATCTCAAATGTACGTTGTTTAAAACATATTATGCGCAGTTGTTTTAATTTATTTGTTTTGTGTTTATTTGAGCGTGATGGTCTAGTGTTTTTAAAGACAGCGCACAGAAATTAATGTCGCAGATATGCTCTCGCCTTGTGAAAAAATGTACCGCAATCTCAATCACCCCACAAATAGTTGTATATGGTTGTCATACTAAACTTAGGCTGTCTGTCTACAGTTAGCTCCGCTTGAGAACAGACACCTAGCTAGTTGACCGACATTTTAAGTCCTAAATCGAAGATTTTAGTCGAAAAAAAATAAGTATACTTCGAGAATTTTATTAAGTTGTTATTCTGCTTCAATAAAATTGAAAAAAAGTTTATTTAGTCTTTTTGTAAATGATAGATGTAGAACGGAGTAGAGCCGCATCATAAAACGGTACACTGATTTTTAGATATGGCGGCCAATTAAGACAGAGATCTATTCTCGAAGTATGAAGTAGATGAATCTCTGTGTGCAGAGTGTATAATTGTGTCACGACACGTCAAGATATAACATGGCGTATACTTCAATCTAACTATAGATTAGATTTTACTAATCGCTTTAGCATACAGATCAATATATTATTAGATCTAAGTACTTTAGGTTGCCAAACTACCGTTAACAACAGGCTACTGGTTTTTTTTACTGGGGTAACAATTTAAAATCTGTTCTATATATATACCTGTACAACTAGTATAATGGTGGTTGTAATCATACTATAATAAAACAAATACGTATATATTGACTTTTTCATCTTGCAAATAAAAGAAATAATGTTTAAAAAAATATATATAAAATAAACCATTAAGTGTGTCTTTAATCTTGATATACAAAATACAACAAATGCGAGAGAGAGAGAAGAGAGAGAGAGAGAGAGAGAGAGAGGGGGGATCTTTGGGTTTATATAGCAAAATAGTATGTAAAGGGAGAGGGGGGAGAAATGCGGTTTAACGTCCAGGTTCTCAATTGTCCGGGGCATATAAAGGGACAATACCATGTGTTAGTCTCAAAATACCGTGTTGGCTAAAAGTAATACCCCAGTCCCTGCTGGAAATAGTATTCATATCCTGGCCGGTACACGACATCCGTCACTAACAGAAACTAATGCGTATGCATTGATGAACAATTTAGCAGAAACTAATGCATGTACATTGATGAACAATTTAACAGAAACGTATTCCTGTACATTGATGAACAATTTAACAGAAACTAGTGCATTGAAGAACAATTTAACAGAAAATTAAGCGTGTACATCGATCGACTAACAATTTAGCAGAAACTAATGCGTCTCCCGAGATTAATAATTTAACAGAAACTGATACGTGTGCATTGATGAACAATTTAACAGAAACTAATGCGTCTCTCTCCAATGATTACCAATTAAAAAGAAACGAATGCGTGTACATGGAGTAACAAAACAATTTAACAGAAACTAATGCGTGTCTATTGATTAACGGATGCGTGTCAACTGAGTAACAACGAAACAGAAACTAATGCACCTTCAATAATTAATACTATAACTGAAAATAATGCTGCGCATTGATGAAAAATGCGAAAGAAACTAATGCGTATCCATTGATTTAATGTTTAATGGTAAAACTATTAATAATATATTTTGTGGGGGGGGGGGGGTCAAGGGTGAAGATGATCATTTATAAGTATCGATTTCTTTATTTATTATTTTATTGATTTAATGTTACTCCATGTAAGTAATACCCGGCTGTGACATGTACATTGCTCAGTATAAAATATATATGTACTCGAAAAAAATTGAATATGTCACAGCCCCACTTATTCTACTCTTTTTTTTGTAAAATGCTGACCCCAGGGCCCCATCCCTGGCAACACTCCTTATAAATCTATCTGGGAAAATAAATAAGCTAGTACCTTTTAAAATTAGTACTTACGTTTACGGTTTTGTTCCCTATCCCATCTTTCTGGGATTGTAAAATTTCTTCAGCTGAATTTATTAAATATTTATGGTTTATCTCACGTAGTGCCCTCGGCATTTTGACTCGAGTTATTGCAATATATGAATCATACCAATATTACACCGATGTTCTCTCGTTTATGGCACCCTCGTGTATGTATAGCGTATAATTTCACATGGTGGACAGAGAAATTACAAACGTACATTCGTCAAATACTTGTCATTCTTTATCAAGTCACAGTCATCCCAGGCGACGTTCGCATGAATCCATTCGGTGGTTCAGAGTTTGTAATGGTGTTTCAAATTTGCTGTATTAAAGATCCAACAATGACCATTTAAATTTCAAACAATTCCGAAAAAATCAAAAGTTGTCTATTACGCCGATATTCGCATTAAACAAATTGGGTGTTTCAAGGTTTATAATTGGGCTTCAAATCGGCTTCATTAAATTCCAAATATTTGTCGTTTCCGCCTTTAGATATCACATTCTTCCAGAGTATCGAACATTTTCGATTAGAGCGATCTATGGAGATATTAACGTTTGCAATTGTTGCTTAATGTTACTTCTACTAAAAATCTACAAATCCTCGTTTCATGAATTCACAGGTGATCTAAGCACAATTATTAAATTCCGTATACACTAAAAATAAACAATCCCCTCCAAATCATCACAGAAGCTCCTAAATAATCCAATAATCTGTTTTAAAAAATCCAAATTACTATTAAAATCTCCAGTTCAACTAATTTGCACAAAGAAATCATTAGACAAAAAAATACGTCAACATACACCACTTAGAATGCAATCTGGTGCATGACGGCCATTTTGATTTTCAAATCACTGTTAGTGACGGCGTCTAAATGTTTTCTGTCAAGCAGCCAAAACATTGAGAAAATCCCTAAGTAACTTAATCCGCTTTGTGTTGATTAAGAAACAGTAGCCCCTACAATGG